AATAAGATCAACAGTTGATATTTTCTGAGGGAGAAGAAAGCATCTGTGAAATCCGGTTCACACAAATTACACAAATCTCCATACAACGACATTAGTCAGTGCTTAATTTCAATCAAATATTTGTTCAATACCTGACTTGAATATGGAAGAGAACTTCAGAGACTTATCAAAGTAGATAGTTGAGAAGTGGAAACCAGATAGCTACAAAAGCCAAATGCTATTCAGTGAAGTAATAGTAATGACATTCATTATGATGATTTGAGAAATAGACAGACGGACACACAAGACTGTATGAAACACTGGACAAAAGTGTGGTAATCTCCACTACTTTTATACTTTAAACCAACTAGGAAACAAAACCGAAGAGGAGTAGGAAGAGGAACACTAATACATAAGAAAAGTGTATGGTAAAAACGTCAGCTGGATCTGCATGCTGAATGTTATCACGCACATATTTGACTTAGGCGCTACGAGCAACATTTAAGCAAATGATGGCTAACAATATCAACAGTTCTACCTACTTTGAATGCATTCTTCACCATTTGTGAGATGAAAGACCAAGTATCTTTGGAACTGGGACTTCGTTTCAATCTGTACATTATCAGAATCTTTCGAGACCAAGAAGTCTATTTCAAACAGTGATAGCATTACTACTACTGTGATTATCTTCCGATCAAAATTCTCAACAACTGAGTCGACACCTTTTGTCTTACACCTTACGTATGATCTGGATACTTATATGCTCTGTGTCTGTAATGTTACTATGGAAAATGTAACTGGAGGGTCAAGTTCTTCTCAAATCTTGTAGACTGAATGTCAAATTTGCAAAGATAAAGAGGATTAGAAAAGAGTGAATCGCTGATGTATAGTCTTATTCATTTGTCAGTCGTCCTTGTCCTCCTCAGACAAATATAATATCTATACATTGCCGAACTAATACGACTTCAATATAGCGAAGTAGTTTTACGTCGCATCGCACATCTGCATTCTTGTGAATTGAGTTCTTTATCAACTGAAATGATTCCCTCTTCTCTTCATTTCTCTACGTTCCTAATAGAACATAGGGCTTCAAGCCTTGAGCCTTGAAATTTCAGTAACGGTAGTGTTGTTCCATCTTTACTGGGTGAGGTTACCAACTAGACGCCCAATCCAGCTATCCCTCTTTTACTGACTTACTACCATCTAGGCAAGGTATGGGAGTGCATTTACTGAGAATCGAACCATTGCCTGAGTGATGAGTGAGCATTCCACAAATGAACCATTGACGTACACCAAATGATTCTAGGTTATTTCGAGTCATCACCTTGATGTGGGTATGATTTTGAGCAAATATGAATTACGTAGGAGGTTTGAACTGGTTCTGACTATCGCTGAATTAATATCTTCTGAAGTTATATTCTTGTCATGAACTGTTCCATGTTTTACAAGAGCAAACTATTCCTCCGCTACAAAGTTCTTATTCTGGAAGCAAGTCTTTTAGAAATTCCTTTATTGTCAAACGTTGTGAATGCTTGTTTCACCTAACTCATGGGATAACGAGGAAATTTTACTCCTTTAAGTCTTATTATTACTATCATATCATTATTCGTTTCTTTGCGTTTTGAGTGAAACATGAGTCATCAGTGATAGACCTTCATCGCCCTACATTCTATGCCATCATGACTGTCAGAGAGCTCTCATTTTGTTTTCACATGATATTCTCCATATGACGCACTTTTAACCCTTAATATACTACAATTACTTCTAAATGAACCAGGACGAAGTATATTATTAGGACAGTGGTAACAGACTTTCAGAGATGATTCAGTCTTGCATTTTTTGAATTTCTCAGTACCTTAGAGTATTGCACCAGCGTGAATTCAAAAATACAAACCAGTTTGAGTTAATGAATTGTCTTACTGCGTAGACTGCCACCAGCAAAGTGGACAGTCGAACAGAAGCTTCTGTGGAATGACAAATGATTGCCAAAGGTAAACAAACAAATAACATAAATTAGAGGACCACTGAAAACCACCAGGGAGAACCCGACAGCCATTTCGTCCTGGTCCTGGACTCTTCAACCGTAGTTATCCATGATGCCACTCACACGGAGTTGAACCCAGCACTTTCACGCTAAGAGGGTTCAATCACATGTGGGTGGGGTTGTGAGTTAGTACAACTGAAGACTTCCTAGCTAGGACGGAAAGTAAGTTTAGTGTACTCTCTTTTTCCCTGGGTCTGGGATATTAACCCACGGTTAACACTGAAATCAATCAAATACCTGCAAACCAACATTAGAAAAAATGACGTGTTTTACAATTAAATCAGAATAGACTTCAATTAGTGGGATGTGTGAAACTAAAATTAGGGCACAAAAAGAAAACTAATAAAATTAGTTTTACACAGGAGATTGTTACCAATGAGGACTATTCGTCAGTTTACTTCGCCATCTAAGAAATAATCTTGGCAGATGTGCTGTCAAAATCAACTACCTTCATTTCATCAGTTCTCTTCCCAACCAATTGTTAATATTTTATAAAATCTTTCGAATCTACACTTATTAAATGTCATACCATGGACATCTAGTTTGGGCGTGCTATGTAAAGGTAGAGAATGACTGGATACCGCACATTACAAGACACCTGTTTCATCATGATTTGCATCTTTTCAGCAGTAAGCACTCATGACCCGAGATCGGGCTCAAGATCCTGGGGTTGTGGAGCTGTCATGTTAACATCTAAACATTAGGTTTAAATCTAGTAGCCAGTGAATACTTATGATGCAGTGCTACCGATGAGTATTCGCTTCATATCTGATTCGGTTACCTTATAGCTCAAGGCTTCTTATAAGAGCTCCAGGATGTCCATCTCGCAGTTAGTTCCCATAGAGTTTTGCTTTATAGAGATATGTTTGGTTTCAGGGTGTAGCCTCTGTACCTTTAGAGTACTGGTTCCCATTTATTTAAGTGTAGAACTTCAAGATATAAGAATTGTAATCACTTTGCACTAATATGTGACTAGGTAGTCTTGCCAGTCGACCAATAGTTGCAGAATCCAAGCTTTTATACTCAAAGCATGAAGATCAATTTATTTCCTGTAACAATATAAACCGTTTCAGTGGAAAATAATGCATGCATGAATCACTGGTTGACGTGAATCGAAGTTTATTAATCGATCTGGTGATGTGATCACTAAGCTAAACATTATAGCAAAAAGCAATGTCATGCAATTAGGTAATGAAGCAAAGACGTCAACACACAACCTTACATCTAAATGTCTTGTTTCAGAAGTGTGTCGGGCAAATCCAAGCCTTATTTTCGAGAATAAATGCCGTGGTGATATGTGTTTATTTGATCCTCATGTGTTACACTGAAGTAAGGTGCTTTATTAAGTAAAGAATGTATAGCATAAAACCATCCCTGATGAATATTCACTTAGTGCATTTACAACGATAATTTAAAAGTAAATGGTAGTGTGCTATAGACGTTGGTTAGAATTAACATTAGTCAACATAAGAGAAGAAGACTCGACTATAATTCACCAGTAAGATGCGTCGAAATGAGATGAGATAGCACTTAAATGCAACCTTTATTGAGGTCTTTATCATTGAACAAATCTGTAATCTTTAGCTAATTATCACTACTTTAAGAAAAATGTCAGGAAACGTTAAAAATTAGATCAAACTTTATTCTGCTTAATGTGGGAAATACCGAATGACTATTATATGATTGATCAGTATTTACATTGGTAGCTGATCGGATCATGAAAGGTAGTGAGAGAATAGGCATACGTTGGCTTGACAGAAACATCCTATAAGATCTAGACTTTCAGGATGATTCATGCTGAATGTCTCACAATGTCGAGGATTTGGAAGCAAAATTCAAAAATTGAGTGGAAGAGGCAACTAGGACAGGACTTCAGTTGAACTTAGAACAGGTAGAGGCGATGAAGATACCCAACAGATAACCAAAAAACAAACAATAATGGGAGAAATCTAAAGAGAGTCTTCTCTTACACTCAAATGGACCTGCATCATCGTTTCATTTACACGTGGCACGGGTGACTACATCTAAGCCCTACACGGTCAGAATAGCAATTCAGGCTTCTGTTACTCTAAAATCAATGTAGTGATCTATAGTACTCAGAGAAGGCGGCAAGGTCCAACACATTCAGTGTTTCCATATGGTTCAGATACTTGATGCGTGCTTCACGAAAGCATTTCAAATGGCCTACAGGGTAGATGGTCTTTTGGAAAGGAGGATTAGCGGTAAGAAAATTTAGGAGGCAACCAATCAACCAACGTAGGACTTATTGCCCAAGAAGTAAATGAAGGTGGATTGGACACACTCTCAAGAGACATCACATGCCAGACCTTGGTCTGAAAGTGACAAGCCGGGTGCCCGGAAGGAGGTCATGTGAAGAAAAAGTTAGTTTATGGGCGTTCTTGAAGCTAGTTTGAAAAGATGGTAGTAAACAGAGTGAAATTACGATATTCTGCTGAAGTCCTGTATTTCACTGATAATCTAAGGGATAAATAATAATAAATTTATTTCGTTACCAGGTCTTTCGTCCCGGTGCATACTGAATTCCATCACTCACGTGTGCAATGTCGTCACCACGCTAGTTTACCCACTGTCGTGGCACACTTTGAAATGATGTTAGGCGGCTAGAGGTGAACGGTAAGGATCTTGTGACCTAGGTTCCTTGCATACTACAACTCATCAGTCCTACAGGAGGTGAATCGTGTGCCCGAGTAGCTCGGTGTCACCGTTTCTGACTACAGTACGGCATGACACAGGATTTCGGATCTCTCAGAGGGCAACAGTTCCTTCTACGTAGTAATAAGCACGAAACCTGGGTTGAAAGAGACCTTCTGACTACCCCAATATTTTCTGCGCCCAGAATTGCACAGTAGTGCTTACAAACAAGTGTGTATGCAGTGTTCATTAATAAACGTTTCTACTTTTAAATGAAGATATTTTTCTAATTGCTTCTCTAATCTTTATTTTTCTTTTATTTCAGGCATATGGAATAGTATGGAAAGCAATAAACCGTAAAACAAAAGAAGTTGTAGCATTGAAAAAAAATTTCGATGCATTTCGTAATCAAACCGATGCACAAGTTAGTAAAAAAATTAGAAAGTCCACCTTTACACTATCAATCTGTCCTGTCTTCTCTTCCTTTTATCCGTGTAGAGAACATTTCGTGAAATTGCATTTCTTCAAGCCTTTGGGAATCATCCAAATGTCATCGGTTTATACAATGTTATTCGAGCTGAATGTGATAAAGACATTTATCTCGTCTTTGAATATATGGGTAAATCGATAACCATTTTAATTTTATTGAGTAAAAATTTAAATTTTTACTTTCTTCTTCTTCTGATTTACTGTGAATTATAGAAACTGATTTACACAATGTTATACGTAAAGGAAATATTCTCAAGGACATACATAAACAGTATATTATGTATCAGTTGTTCAAGGCTACTGCCTATTTGCATTCTGGTGAAGTGATACATCGAGATTTAAAAGTGAGTTACACATTTAACTTATTTGTTTTTTCATCAGCTATAGCTAAATTCCGCATTTGAAAATGTTTCTCTCAATACTTTGTGTTCCGAGTGCAACATTAGGCTTCCAATCTTTAACCTCTGAGGTTTCAGTATCAGTGATGTTGTTTTTACAGGGCGGAGTTGCGAATGCCATGACCAACCAAACATTCTCCTTATTCTGGGTTTAAAAACAGCTAAGCGAGAATAAGGAGTGCCTCGGCCCGGAATCGAACCTGGACCACATATCTCGTTGGTGAGCTTTCTATCATTTGAACCACCGATTAGAATTGAAACATTTAGAAGGTATAAAAGGACTGAGCTGAGTAAAGAATATTCCTTTTCGATGACTTCATCAGGTTCTACAGTAATATATTTACATAATAATAACAATGCTTTTTGGACACTATCGAGTTTTTATGATCAGTAGGTTAGAGTTCAAAAGCATGTTTAGGTGCTAATATGCCTAAGGAAATAGTTACAACACTTGAAAGGTAGGATTATAACATGAATAAAACAATAATAAATTGCAATAGGCTTATGCGGGAGAGGAAACTGTCAGGTTGTACAGTCAAGTAATGATGGTCAAGTGAAGAAAAGCATCTGTACAAATTTCCTCTGAATTAATAGTTCCGGCTTCTTCAGGTGAGCTGCAGCAGACCCAGCTCTACGTAAAGGACGAACTCGTACGGTAAAATTAAGATTAGTCGGAATACAATAGATAACTTTAAATGCTTTATTAATATAAACTTTAGACTGGTTACCTACACGGTGAGTTGAAACGCAAGTACGAACAGACCTTGTTTGTCTCATGCTTGACCACTCAGGATGGTGATGTTCGAAAATCCGATGAAGAATATGTCTCATTGTACATCATATATAACTCGCTTCAACGGAGTGGTCAGAGTGGTAGATACACATGAAGGAGGCCAAAATATGTAGCTTAACCTTATTTCCCAAAGGGAAGATGCGAGTGGTTGTGAAGACACAGAGCACTTGTACTGCACTGACTTCTTTTTTTACTACAATCTTTCAAATTAATCTGATGCTCACTAGTGACTGGCCCTATTCAGGCAGTTAACCTGGGTTTCTAGTGGGAAGCCGTGACCAGTAGGGTACAGGTTGAAGATGTGACAGTAACTCATCTAAGAAAACATTGCGAAATGGTCGCGCTATGTCGTGAATTGGCAGAAGTTAGAATTCAAGGACCATTGGATCGGGTCCCAGTGGCTCAATGGTCTACGAGCTCGCCTTGTAACCAGAAGGTGCTGGGTTCGAATCCCAGTAGATGCGTGCTGATGAAGAGTCCCAAACTAGGACAAAACGGCTGTCCAGTACTCCCAGGTTTTCCAGTGGTTCTCTAACTGATGTCAGCTCATGATGAAATCCTCCATACAATCTTTCAGCCTTGTGTTTTTATTTCACTAATATTATCACCAAGGAACTGCAGTTTTATGAACAAACACTTTTTCGGAGGTGTGGACAAACTAGTTCGTCTTCGTCCTATATTTATATAACTGTAGAACCTGATGAGAGAGTTATCGAAAACAACATTCTCTACTCAATCTTTTTGTCTTCTAGATTTCATCAAATGCCAATCACATCTGGAAAAATATAACTCTGGAGGAATTGTTGTGAAGATAGGGTTTGTTACCAATGGAAGACATTTTAGCTTTCATGTTCGAGTGCATACATGTCTACACACCTTCAATTTCATTTGATTTGAAAACAGAGGCTAACAACACATTGATTAGTCACTAGCAAGTGATCACTGTTGCACGTCTAGTCTTTAATGTTGGTGTAGACTAAATTATGTCAGTCAAGTTGGCAATGCGGTTACCATAGTGGTGTACTGTTGACTGGTGTTAGATAGTTGACGATAATTAGCAGGAGGCTGTATCTGACCTAATTTTTGTGCTCATCAACACTCTTTTCAGTAAGGCTTTCCTGTAATTTTGAAGGAACTGATTTTCCCTCTGAGATGTGAATTAACATCACCCATTGCTGCAGTTAGGGACGGCATCACTGAGCTATTTGGGTGTACGCTTTACCTCCTGTACGACTGTAATGGATATATTTCCCAAGCGTTATTCTTAAGAAAAGAAATATATACTTGATCAGTTTCACGGAGAGCCCTTTTATGTTGCGTAATCACTAAGACATACCTAGTGAGATAAAATATTTAATTCATTCAGTCACTCAGACACCGAAACAACTTATTCAGTATGTGCTTAATTTCTTTTGTAGTTAGTTCAATATTGACAAGGAGTCATGACATCAACCTGTACTCAGAATGAGTGAAGTAAACGCATACTTCATTCTTCAAATAAATCTAACTTTTAAGTAGAATGATCTATTTTTAAGGATGGGTAAATCAGTAAACCTTAGAATACATGGGGCAGTATGATTCTAAACCAACGACTGAAACGTCATCCTGAACGTCCAGAGCTTGACCATAGGTAGTCATTGGTAGGTACAGCTGAAGAGTTCCAGAATAAGAAGGTGGTTCTCTCCTGTGATCGAAACTTGAAAGCAGCACCTAAAAATTACAGATTGCATTGACAAACACCACATTATCATTCTAGACATTATGATCAGAGCAACCTCCAAGTCATTTAATTCACCGTTTTAAAGTGAGATGATAACGAAGAAAAATTCTATAACCAGTAATGACTGGGGTTGTAACGGCAAAGAAAATGATGGATAATAAGGTTAGAAATAACCATGTCCAGGCTACTGATCCGTCAACTGATAATTACATATTCTTTCTGTCTAAATCACTGGAGTTTTAATAAAATTGAAAAGTGAGTGAGAGATGCATAACCATTTCTGCAACACCATAATCACATAGGTTGTCTCATAAGCTGAAGGTCCTGCGTTAGATCCCAAGCGGGGAGGGGATGAGTGTACACTGCTGAAAAGTTTAAAACTGGGGCGAAATAATCATCCAAGACTTTAGTGGTTCTCTAACTGATATCAATCAATTAACCAACTTAAAACCAGTCAACTACATGGAAACCAATAATTGAAAACGTGTGTGCCACTTGTATTCATTGAATTATTGTAACGGAAGTTTTCCTAAAAACCTATGAGATATACGTTTCTGGAGCCATCACTTCCCTGTGCCTTTGTTGAAAACTGATTTCTTTTGAAGTATGTGGCATACATATCTACATGTTACATATACTGACTAACGGACAGGTTTATTAGTGCAGAACTTTGCACGATATTGCAAAACAGGTGCACTACATAAGGAAATGGAATGGAAATACGATGTACAAAGATATAAGGAGAGGGAAGAATTAAATGCGAATAAGTGAGAACTTTCAGAAACCGGACGATAAAATGGAGTGAATGCTTTTGAGCCATGTCAACGACAGTCATCAACCATAGGTTCTTAGCATGCGTAGGGTATCTCAGTCTGTAGATCTGGTCCTTCCTGGCCAATAGTTGGAGACATGATGGGCTGATGACATGTTTTCACCTGATAACCTGCCCTATTTCAGTTAACAGTACCCGTCGGTGGAGGTTTCGGCTGAATATGAGTGGCACATATCCTAATTATCTCAACCAATGAGGCTTTACAACCTCATTGACTGGCTTTCCTTCCTCGCCTGGCACTCTATGTAAAACTACATCACAACTGACCATATTGTACCATCCAACATGGGAGGTTTAGCACAGGCAATTAGGTCAGAAAACCACTGATCTCTTGAATTCTTCTATTTTCAGCCGCTGTGTCTCACAACAGTATGGGAGAGTGGAATGAAGTGCTGCACAGTACGCACATCCTTTGATGGATACTGCGCCAGCCAAATGTCCAACGAGCTTTTCATCAGCACTCAGTGAGTTAAGGCTGATACGACTTTTCAAATAGCTGAGGGAGGGACAACATTCAATCATTTTGCCTCTAGTCTCTGAAATACATGTCCGTGCAAGCCGGATATGAACCACCGCATTATATCTGATGGTGGAAAACAGCATCCTAAATATGCCTCAATTATGTTCCAGGTTTCAGAAGACTGTGTATATTGTCAACATTTTCATCTAGAAGGACTATTTATCTGTGTAGCGTGGATCAATGAAACTCTTCCATGTTAACATTTCAAACTCTGGAACATCAAATTTAACCATAGTTACATCCATCAGTACACCTGTAACGAAATTAAATAACATGTGTGACAGTACATGTGACCAACACTGCTGACTATAGTAACCTCAGAATGCATGTACGCTTAGGCTCTTACATGGCTATATGAATCCGAGCAAAGTACCCTTATTCATACAGCATATTTTGTCGACGCTTACTGAGTAGTCAGATAAATCCACTACTACTGTTGATCGACGGATTTAAAAGATGTCCAAAGATTGAAAAGTATGGCAAATATTAAAGGCCAAAAAGTGTGCTGGTGTCCCATTAATAAATGTGAAATCAAATGAGGAGGTGATGGTCCTAAAATTCATATTTTTCGGACTGGAAATGAATAGATAATGATCGAAACGAGTCAGCGTAGGTATTTCACTCTATGGTTCATATTAATACTACAACTAATACCCAAACATTTATCACAAAGACTATTAAAAGTTCACTTGATTGCCTATTCGTGTTTTTGTCTTTACTGAAATGTTTTCAAAGGAATTAACTGCATTAGAGCTTTGTGAATCAATATTTGACTTTGTTGCGTCGGCAGTTCAGTGGCAGAATGTTCACCATCCACTCAGGTGGTCCAGGTTCACTTCCTCGTCGATGCAAACCTAAACCTGACCTAGTTTACTAACCAGTATTAAGCCCAGAAGATAACGAACGTTAGGAATGAGGCTAACGACCCACTCTATAGAAATAACACTGGTAATACTCAGAATTCAAAGCTTTGGGGCCCGTGTTTAACTCGGAACTCAAAGAAATGAAAAAATAGCTTTTAGACTCAAAGTATCTGCGATATCACAAAATATGCTTGTTCTGCTGGCAACCATCAGTGGAATGCAAGAGGCCGATTTCTTCTTGCGAATTTCATGCATTTAATAATTTATGAAATATATCTGCATATTACCTAGTAGTTGAAACGAATATAAGTCAGCTCTTAATAAGTATCTTAGCTTGATTGCGGACAAGTTGAATATAATAATTCCTTATTTTAGTCTTTAAGTTCCAAGTAGAACAAAAGATTCCAGTACTTTTGAAGAATCATTAGCAGTTTTGTTGTTTTGGCAGGATCAGTTTGCTAGCCTCACATTCAGTCTTTCCTCTCTTTTTCTGGGCTTACTGTCAGATAGTAAACTAGGCCGGGTTTAGGAGCACATCGGTCTGGAATCAACCTAGGACCTCCGGCGTGGTTGACGAATATTTTACCATTTAGCTATTCAAACAAAATTCGAATACACTCATTTCTTGTGTGAAGAAATTTTACGTCACTGTGGCGCAATCAAATCTTTATTGAATTAAGTTATTATTAATAATAAAAATGAATGATTAGTATTATTATTTCAAGTTTTATATCAGCTAGAGAATCACTGGGAACCAGGGAGTAGGCTTAGGACACCGCATCATCAGTGATCCATAACCTGCAATGAGAAATGAACCAAGGACCCACAGGTTGCTACGAATTACATTCCATCGCAGTATTTGAGTGACCAATGAGTCCTTCTCGTAACCTGAAGGTTTTGAGTTTGATCCTAAGTGGCGCCTACCGATGAATAATCCCGAATCAGGACGAATAAGATGTTCTGTACTCACTGGTGGCTTTTAGTGGTCCTTTAAACGAATTCATTTCATCATCTAACTTGAACTTATGTTTAAAAGATTTTTAATTGTTGGTCTTTTGTCGTGTGAATATGATAACTGTTCTATTTACTACTGTTTATATTGTAGCCATCGAATGTACTACTGGATTCTGATTGTTCAGTGAAATTATGTGATTTCGGTTTGGCACGTTCGTTAAAAGGTAGAAGTAAATGTGAAAATGGTAATAAAGTGAACTGTAAAACTTTATTACCAGCTTTAACTGAATATGTTGCAACACGTTGGTATCGTGCACCTGAAATTCTTCTCGCTTGTCATGATTATACAAAAGGCGTAGATATATGGAGTTTAGGATGTATCCTGGGTGAAATGTTAACTGGTTCACCATTATTTCCTGGTACATCTACACTAGATCAAATTGGACGTATTATGGCTGGATTACCAAAATTAAGCAGAGAAGGTGATGTACTTTTAATATAATTGTAATTTTATGTAGTTTTGACGATATTTATGTTTATGCATTGATTCATAAGAAACTGATGAGTCACAAAGATTTGTTGTGACTTGGACATCCTCCAGACTATATTTGTAAGCCCATTTCAATAAGTTACGGGTCGGAAGCAATTTCCACGACTCATCTAAAGACGTTGTGCTATTCAGTTTCCATGAATCATAACCAAGCTATGGTAGCTAAATTACACCAGCACCATTTTAACTGACATTGATTTAACTCAAGTTCATTATTATTATTGTTTCCTTTAGTTCCTAGAGGAACATAGGGCTTCAGCCGAACGTCTCCATTGCTTTCGGTTCTCCACCAACGTTTTCACCTGGCTCCACGTCTGCCCACATACTTTTATCTCTTCTTCACATGACCAACTCACCGCTTCCCATTTGCGTTCTACTCGAGGGCCTGTCTTGTGATGTCACTTGATTGTTTTCCCAGAGTATGGCCACTCCACATCCATTTCTTCCTTCTTATTGGTTGCACAATCGGTTCCTGGTTGGTTCGCTCCCAGAGACCTCAGTCGCTGATCTTTTCTGGCTATTTGATCTTGAGTATTGAGCGAAGACTGCTGTTGATGAAGGTCTGTAGTTTGTATGAAGTGCTCTTCATGACGCGCCGAGTCTCCGATCCATAAAGTAGCACTGAATTCCCATTGGAGTTGAAAATCCGGATCTTATTTTTCATACTGAGTGATGTTGACATCCACACAGACTTGTGAGTAATGAAAGCTTGCCTTGCTTTCCCGATCCTTGCTTTGATATCCTCGTCAGTTCCACCTGTAGTTGAAGGGATGCTTCAATAAAATAACGGTTCGCTTACCTCAAAAATTTGAAGTTTTTCGCAAAACCAAATTGTATTTACTCACAGCTCTAAGAAATTTATATCTTAAGCAAAACCTGAGTTTTTTTCTGAAATTTTAATTTTTATTATTCCTTTTAGGTTCCGAGCGAAAGATGGGACTTTAGTAGCACTTCTTCTTTTCACTATGGTCTCTGCTACACGATTACCCATAAGCCTTCATTTCTTCCTCCAACAATCTCCTCCATAACACTCTATCCCACGCGCAAATATTCGTTTTCCATTCTGATTCCACTCAAAGACCTTGTGAATGATGTTACTCAGTAGTCTACTGAGAGCATGTCAAATCCATAACCACTTTCTTCTGCACATTCTTAGCATGTTAGGTTCTTGGTTGGTTTACTGTATGTCAGAGTTCCTTGTTGCGAATCCCTTCTGATCGGGTGTCTGATCTTCAGTAAGGGTCCAGAGAACGCAGGTGTTGATGAAAGTCTGCGGTAGTCTGTTGGAAATGATTTTCATGGTGCATCAGGTCTGTGTAATATATAGAAGCAATGGCTAACCTGACATTCGTGTTGAAGGTTCGAACCCCATTCTGTATGCTGAGTGCAGTAAATTTAAATAATGATTCCAGGATTATTAAGGTCTGTCCTGCCTTTCTGGTTTGATCCTGGTTGGCTTTGAAGCATTCATCCGTGCCACATCTAGTTGAAACGATGTTTCCCGGCCAGGTAAGTGAAAGAGATGATTCCGTTTAGAGTTCTCTAGTTGATGGTAATTAATGCTTGTTGTTGATGAATAGGAATTTTTACCATCATTGTCTTCTTTATGTTCCCTTGAAGTACCGTCTTTCCTGACTCTTCTGACAGAGACCTATTCGTTGATGAAGTGTGAGACGTTACTATCTCTAATATCACCTCCCATATAAAGCTTTTTTGGATATTTGCTGTCCTACTGAAACACTGTTCACGAGATTCGATAGGATCTCTTCTCCATAACTAAAAAAGCTTAGAAGAAAAAAATTAGAACTTGTATAAGTCACATAATAATTCTGGTGTTCGAAGAATAAACTCTCTTATTAAAAATTTTTGTCACGTAAGAGCAATTCCAACATATGGAAACTTTTAATCAACTTAAAAACAGAAAACAAGTTTCACTTGGTTCTTATTCTGATGTATATGCCTTAAATCGATCCTTTATAATGCAACAATATGACTGGACCTGATGTTTCTAGTCACGTAAATGATCATTCCCCTGGTTTTAATGAAAAGGATGTATTAAAATGTCTCAAATCCTTAAATCCAGCACATAGTCTAGAACCCGATGATGTACGAAGGATTCTGCTTCAAAAGTGTGCTGATATTTTGTATTATCCTCTTACGCAAATCTTTAATGCATCATTTCACAGGGATGCAGTACCTGTTGCCTGGAAAAAATTAAAGGTGGTACCTGTACCAAATTCATCTTATTGGATGTATTATCTATGATACTGTTTACCTATGCTTCATTGTTTTCACCATCATTCTGTTTATAGTGGTTTCTTTATTAATATTTTAAATTATGTGTACATACATATTTACTTAAAAGGAGCTAGATTGTTGCAATATGTATAACATTGTTGAAAATTCCATTCTGTACAATTATTATTGTTTGGAATAAAGTGATTATTACTATAATATTATTAATAAAAATAGTAATAGGAAAAACAAGTCATATGTGGGTCCAGTCGTAACGCTGTGAATTATCATCGAACATAGTCTGCAATGGCTGTCAACTGTTTATCTCAACTTCATCAACTTTGAAAAATCTTCCACAGAGTCAATCGCGGAGTATTTTGAAAGCTGTTTTGACACAATGAAATGCCGATGACCTGTTTAAAGTCTTCCAGTAACTATATGACGACGCCAGATACCAAGTGATTCACCGCGGAGAGCTTATCGGAGCCAAGGCTGGCACAGATAATATTCATAAGTGTAGTGGGCATGATCATGTAACAGACCACGTAGAGTGAGAAAACAGACATGAGTTTGATTGACGAATAGACCCTGGAAGGTCAGGATTTTTAGGATGATATAGATGTTATATCTCATAAGGCCGAAGATCTAGGACCGAAAACAAACAAGTTGGCGGAAGATCGAGTGAAGACAAGATTTTAGGGGCGAAATTAGGGCTGGTGAAGGTATCTAATCAATAACAACATTCACCAATCGGGATAAATCCAAAGGAAATCATCAGTTTTATTCCCCTAGACTTGCAGCTTCGTTTCATCTACAGACGGGATGGATAAAGAGGTCGAAGCTAACCAGTACCGGAGAAACGAAATCAACAGCACTCAGTACGTGGAACAAAACCCGAATTATTGGCAATTATATCGAGCCAGTCAGCGCTTTTATACATTTCAGAAACTTGGCGACTACATCACCGAAATCATTTTCAGCAGTCTGTTTCCAGTGCTCGATAATGTTCATATAGTTTATGAGAAACAACAAGAGAGAACAAACTTTGATGGGCAGTGAAGCAGTAAAGAACCAACTACTCAACAAATATGAAAGTGGAAATGGGAGCGGATTGACTAGGCAAATGCTAAGGGGACCGTTGTGTGACATCACACGTCAGGCTCTGCAGTGAACAAGAATGGGAGTCCAGGACTTGGGCGTTCAAGGGTGATTTGGAAGTGTCCACACAGGGGCAAAGAGTAAGCTTGTTGGCAATCGTAGGACCGGCTAGAAAACAAGCCGCAAAACAGATTATGATGAAGATGTGTTGCTGGAGCTGTGTATTCCACTAGGAATGCGACGAATGAGAGGAAACAGCTAGTTTGAAACGAAATACTTTCGACTGTTTCATTCTTAGCTAGATCAAGAGGAATCTTATTCTAGAATGACCAGATGTATAGTATCTCCTCACTTTCGATTGATTTGACCTCATAAATCACAATTTCTCACTGAAATCTCAAGAAACTGAATGTTATTTGAAACATTTCACCGATTTCACAATTCGCAATACATGAGACACAATGTCCAAATCAGTTGATTGAATCGTAACATTCTACTATTGACAAGCGGTTATTATGATTTTAATTCTCTTCGGAATTGGACAAAACAACCTCATAATTTGTCTTTGATTGTTCAAGATTTGTTTAACTTATACAGAGAAATCAATCGATCTCCCTCAAAAAAACCACTCAACTGCTTATCAGAACAGAAAAATTTCGCTTTTTATTTACAAGATTGTCAAATTAATTTTATCAAAGTTGACTGAATTGTCCAGCTTTTATCCTGAAAATAAATTAATAACTAATCATATAAATTCATGCTGTGACAACAAATATATTCTTATTTTCCTATCAACATATAAACCTAATTGAATGTCGATTTCATTTAAAAGGAGTGCCTATTGTGTGTTCGTGTGTGTGTGTGTGTGTGTGTGTGTACAGTACGCACACAGTAGTTGGATGAGGCGCACAGCTGATTATTTTAATAGAGTTTATATTGTATTGATTATTTTGTTTTCAAATCTTCTAATTGACCACCTGTTGAGTTAACCTAAGACGTAAAACTGCTAAGTGTTGAACCTGTCCACGCTCTGCTATCCACCATATTTATTCACAGCAGGAATGCGTTCATTATCAGGTGAGAAGACAAATCTTCTAAAATATTTCACGGCATAAAGTAAGGTAGGTTTTGTACTAAAATTACCTTCAGATAATCAGAAATTAGCAGTTGGTCAGTAGTCAGTCAATGGACTTCTTTACTTAGTTAGAGCAGAAAGTAGTTATTTACCTAATCAGTATTTATCAGTTCAAGGTCACTTTACGGGTGATTCGATGAATTTCTTTAGATGTAAGGCGATTCACCACCCCGATAGATGTTATAGGGATGGAGAATGAATATATGACAGTGTGAATCATAACAGAATCTGAACTGCGAACTCTTGAATTACTTTCGCTGATGTTATTTATAAACCTCAAGTAGGTTAATTGAAGGATCCACTGTTAAGCTGTTTTCCCACCTGTCAGTTTACCTGACCGCATCAACTTGCTTTGACCACTGTTCGTACATTAGGCTTTAATTTTTCTATTCGTCAAATCCTACTTCCTTTTTTTATGATAACATATTATCACTTCCCTGAAAATGTATAACTAACACATATATTAATGTAGCTTACAACTGTTTGGATTTTCGACCTTTCGATTTATAGTTATCGTGTTTTATCATCTCTTCTTGTGCAGTTGCTTCTAGCTGTTTATTATAATTTTATTTCTCCCTTGGATTCCAGGTGGAACATAGGGCTTCAACAGCAGGTCTCCCCTGAAACCTCTTCGCTGAAGTCCTATTTAGCTGGACGCAAGATTGCCCGTAAGCTTTCATCTGTTCCTAAACGACATCCTCCATATCATCCTCGGACGCCTAAATCGTTGATTTCCACTCAAAGGTTTTCCTGGCGTGCGATTTCACCTTATGGTATCCTCAGCGTGTTTGATCTGTCTCTATTTACTTCTATGTATCTGTTCAACAATGCATTCTTGATTGGTTTGTTCCCAGAGTTTCTTATTTCGAATCATTCCCTGCCAATTGACGTTCACTATGGAGCAAAGACAGTTGTTGCTTAAAGTCCGAAGCCTACAAAAAATGCTTTTTGTGACGCGTGCTTCAAGTTGCTGACTCAAATAGAGGAACTGACTTAACATTTGTGTTGAAAATCCTAATGCTGTCCTTTAAGCTGAGTGGAGAATATTTCTAGACTCTTTGATTTTCAGCTGTAAGTCATCGAGTTCATGTGACATTAGACATAATTATCCGCGAATTCCAAATCTTCTACACACTTCTTGTCAGTTCAAAGTTCTTCTGTCTTCCTGCTGCCCACAGTCCACCCCAATGAAGAATATCATGGGTGATAGTAGGTAGTCTCGTCTTACTCCTGTCTTCCCTTCAAATGGCTTCGCTGAGTTCTTGTTGCTAGTCTCAGCAGTGTATATCTATGAACCTATCGGGGATCGTGCCCACAAATTTCAGTTTAATAGGCGAATCTGCTGACCATTCATTTATCAGAGTTGGAATCCAACGAACCGTGAATCCTAATTTCTGTCAGTTCCCTATACAGAACTACTAACAATTAAGACTTCAATGAATAAGCGACTCACATCTGCTGATGCGCACTGTTCAAGAGTGCTGAATTGGGGCGAAAAAGCTGTCCATTGTTCCATGATATCCAGTAGTCAATTTGTTGATGTGATTTCTTGAAGTCTGCGTTAAAATAATCAAAATTCTTACAAACCTAAAAGATCTGAATATTTCTTTTTTTTACAAGAACTTTGGAGTAATATATTCTGATTACTACAAGATAATGTAACGTTCTTGTGTTTTACTTCAATATGACGTTGTTACACCTTTTTACGATATGGGACTACAGTGTGTCAAAGTTGCATTATAAATCGTTGCACTAAATGTTACAGGTTGCACTCTGTTGAAGAGGAATCAATGAATGAAATTATTATTATTTTCTTGGGTTCCTAGTGGGACATAGGGCTTCAGGGCATTTCTACTTTACTCCGTTTTCTGCAGTCGTTTTTGGCTCATTCCACGACTGTCCATAAGCTTCCACTTCCCCTTCATACCAGTCCCTCCGTGTCAGTTTTGGACCTACGCATAACTTGTCACTAGCCATTCGGGTTCCACCCGTGGTCCTGTCGCTTGATGTCGGTCAGAGTTTGTCAGACCCATCTACATTTTCTTTGGCACATTTGCAGGGCAATGGGTCCTTGATTCGTTTCTTCTCAGAGCTCCATGTTGCTAACCCTTTTTGACTGTCTTACCTTTGGTATTGCATGCAGGTAGCTGTTGATAAAGATCTGAAGTTGTCCATTGGATATGCTTTATGTAACGCGTATGCAAAGTTTCTGAGCAATCTAGAAGCACTTACTTGAAATTGGTGTTGAAAATCCGGATCGTGTTCTTTATTCTAAGTGCAACAGACTTCCATAGTAATGAAGGTCTGTCTTGTCTTTCCGATTCTGGTCCTGATATCCTGATCCGTGCAGCTGGTAGCTGAAACAATGCTGTACAGATAAGTGAAGGAAGTGACCTCATGCAAATTACTCCTGTCTATGATGATTGGGGCTTTCTGTTGTTGATTAGTTATCTTATTCACCTCTGTATTCTCTGTGTTCACTTGAAGCCTTGTCTTCCCTGATTCTTTTACTAACCTCTTATTTTTGCCTGTATATCATCTGTTTTATTTAGAAATGAGACATGAATCATCCACAAAGGCAACGTCTAGTGTCGTTTTGCCTGTCCATCGTATGCCTTTCTTTTCACTCCTGACGGTCTACCGCATGATCCAGTCAACCGCCATCAGGATAATCTTTGTTAACATCAGCTTTGTCCTACTCCTGACTTCGTTTCAACGACTTAGCTGAGTTTTCCGTTGTGAATCGCTTAATACATAGTTTCATAATATGGCTGTCTGAAAAAGATTTATCAAAGTTCTCGATATCCCGTATTGTTGAAGTGATTTCCAGAATTACTCAAGGTCGACTATCTGTAAAGCTTTTCACTGTCACTAAATTAGGGCAAAGAGTTGACAGTCACTGTTGGCTGTGTTTGAAAATATTGCGTGACGTTGTAATTTGGCCTGCTCATGATTTTCTCTCCTTGAATTCAGTTTGTTCTGGTTGAAGTCTTGCATACAAAACATTTTTAGTCTGTTCTGAATGATACGCCTTACTTTGGCACTTATAGGAGCGTCAGTTGATCCCAGTGTTCAGAAAAATCTTCTAATGATTTTCAAAATATTTTAGAATTATTTCTAATTATTTTACAGTGATTCAATCAAACCAAGCAGTCAAGTTATTTCAGGGAATTTGTAACATCTGCACTCTTTACATTTACAAATTCATAAAAAATGCTCTTAATTTTTCAAAAATGCAAAAATCTGAAATAAAATTCATTCATTTTTTAAAATATTTTCTCTTTTGTCTATACTATAGACATGGAAAGTATTAAAAGTCCTTATAGTATATCAATTCTAGAAAAAACGCATATCAAGTAAGTAGAATTTGAAAGATTAATCACTGATTCAAAATAAATGCTAAATTTTCGACATCTCTTTGTTTAAATGAATAACTGATTGATCTAAATATTCACATGCTGTAGCTTAATAATATTAGAATGAGATATCGTTGAACATTTTTGTATGAATAATCAAATTATTTTCAAAGTGAATTTCAACACCAAATGTTGTAAGTTTTGGAGTTGCTGAAAATCAAGGATAACTGGACCATTGTTTCGTTCCTGTTTGGGACAGTACAGCGATGCGTATCCATGGCTTCACTAGGTATCGAATCCATGATCTTCGGTGTGCACTACAAGCTGAATGACCACATTGACACGCATAGCTCTACTGGACCAGGTGAAATGACAGATTTATTTTGCGGAGGTTAGTAGAGAAGGTTTATCCCTCATGTACATTTAAATCATTGGCTTTGCAGAAGCAGTGAGTCTAAATTTAATTGCGGAGACTGTCTTTTTCAGTGAACAGGACAAACGATGTTTAGTATTTCTGAAGATCCATAGAAAGAAGTTTTTAGGAGACAAAAATGGATACATGGTTTTGGTGGTGTAGGCTTCATCAACTTTTTCATGAAGCTTTCAGGACAACCCTTTACAATGATAATCCTTTGTTGGAGCATTCAGCTCCTGTTTCTCTTCCATACAAAATAGAAAACTAAGAGTTAAAGGTAATTAATTGGTGTTCAACTTTTATTAACCCAAGAACAAGTCAAAATCAGATGATTTTATTTTATTGAACTCAATGCTACCTTGCAAATCTGATTGGTTGAAAGTAGAAATTTGTGTAAATAACCACTAGTAAAATTTCCGTTTTGAAGGGTTGGATGAAGCAGACAGCTATATGACTGAGAAGTTATGCTGAATTCACCAACATATTAAAAAATACGTTACGTAGTCTGCTTTCTGGGGTTTACCAACCATCGGAACATGTACACCAAATGTGTAGAGGCAGTTTACTGAGTGATTCTCAGCATCATTAATTATGGAATGGGGATCAGTTATGGTTTTACAATAATAATACCTTCTAACTTGTTAAAAAATTAATGATTAATGAAAACAAAGCAAGTAGTTCAGTGAAGAGGCTCTTTACGGTGAAATCATTTTCTTTAGTTGTACAATCGCACTTATATACAATATTTTCCATGAAAGAGGGTAATGACAAAAGTGATGAGTTGTCACAACCATAGTTCTTAGTATAAGCATTGGATAAGGGGAGTTGAATACGTGTATTAGAGTTAAGTGATAAGAAGAGTAATTTAATGAATGAGCTGTAACCAGGATACACATAGAAACGAAGGAAAATATGAATACAAGACCACTTCTGAATGGTTGTGGAAATGTAGCAGTGGCTCTATAAGGAGTGAGACAATCAAAAAGCTTATCACTACTGGTCATTCCATCCCGAAAAGCTCCTCCTTCAAAATAATCTACAAAGTAGAGAATAACTGATTGAAGTCAATACGCTTCTGTCTCTTTTGCCTTACTGAAGCAGTTGTCATTTAGTTAGAGGAACCGGAACTATGCATACAAAAGAAAATCATTCAACCACTTCTACCATCACGGTAATTTCTACTCACTTGACTTTTATGTGATTGTTTCTCAGTTCGTTGTAATTTTTGTATTTCTTTAGAACTCTTATGTGATTTTATAATTTCCTCCGTTTCTATGTGTATCCTAAGTACAAATCATTGATTAAATTATTCATCTTATTACTTAACTCTAATACACTTATTCAACTCCTCTCATACCTTGACTAATACTAAGACCTATAATTGTGACAAGTCATCCCTTTTGTAACAATCCTCTTTCATAAAAAAACTGTATGTAAATGCGATTACCCAGTTTAGTGAATGAATTCGCCTCTTCGTTGGACTACTTGTTTTGTCTTCATCAGTGTCTGGATAGGAATTATTTATGGAAAGTCAGGGATGGCAAAAAGGTGTGCACGATGGGAAAAATGCTTTATTTACCAACCTATTTATATTGGTAATATTTAGAGCAGTAATTTGTAATACACAAACGTTTGATGTACATTAATCGTAATTTATAGCTCCACCGCCAGCCATTATCATCGGTGAGTATCTACCCTCACCACTGAGTTGGTGGATCTCATTGGTCAAGATATCTCAATAGAACTCTAGGCAACACCAGTGATTAGTAAACTATAGGTTAAACAATAAGTAATAAGGGACATGAGTACAAAGAACTGGAATGAAGCCACGGAAAAAGAAAAGAAAATTGAAATTAGTAGAAGAGCAGTTTGAAGAACGCTCTTTACCATCTCTTTATTTACGCTTTTATTCATCAAAGCGTTACAGACAAGATCCCATTGTTGGCAGCTTCGATGCGTATTTACGACTTCATTTACTCTTGTGGAGTTACGTGCATGTGGCCATAAAAGCAGGGCATTATTCAGACGTGATCATCAATACTTACCAGTATGTTTATGGAAAGAGGAACTTAGAATACTCTTCAACTCAATATTGGAACATGTTATTGCTTCAAATTATGTATTATATACAAGATAAGATAGAGCTGATTAACAGGATTTTGTCTACATTTTCTTCTTGCAGCAGAAGCTCTTGCAGGTCATAAGAAGAAGTCATACCTTATTGCTTATAGGTATAACGAAGGCTGTAGAGTATATGAAACACTGCTTCTTTAAAGATAGGAAACCCTCGTAAATATAATCTTCGATCACTGAAAGCGTAATTTGAAAAGTTAAGAAGCTTATGAAACAATATGCTCACCTCTGAAACTATTAAGGATACTTCCTGTGTTTTTGAAATAATTTTGTTTCTTCTTTCAGACGTCGTCCATTGGATCAAGTTTTAAAGAATGCTAATAAAACTGCGATGGATTTACTCAATCAGATGATTAACTTTAATCCACACAAAAGAATTGATGCCTTACATGCCCTCAAACATCCATATGTTCGCAAGTAATTACATAATTAATACCTTTTTTGTTTTCCTCATTCACTGAAAGTCAATATTTCTTTCTTTAAATGAGTCATTTTTTAGGGTAAAAGATTTTTTAGCTTATGTTGAACTGAAACGCTCCGTGTCTGTTGACATATATGCTCCTATTACGGAGGCTTTAATGATGTCTATGGATTAGTGTGGGATCAGTTTGGTTTATTCTGACCAGTATAGTAGTCAAGGATATTCATTTTGTCATATCTGGGACTCGTCAACTGGATGTGCATGAATTCATAGTAAGTGCTGGTGTTCACAATAAGAATAGAACCCTGAACCCACTGTTTCAAACATCATCACTCACTGTGAATGCAGACATATCCAGCCGACGAATCCAAAATAGGAAGAAATTCATATCCTCGACTCCAATGTTAGTCACCATCAGTCAGGATAGGGGTCGAAGAGTACCACTTACCTTACCTAGTACAAGTCTCAAGCTGGTCTTTGATGCCCCGACTCCTAGATATAGAATCATCACAATTAACCACTGGCGGGTCGAAACTCCTGATAAGAATATGATATTGATTTGCCTGTAAAAATATCCTGACAAGAAGTATTACAAGCCGTATGGTTTCCCTTAAAATATCCTGTACAGCCTACTGACAAATTACATAAAGGGGAATAAACAAATTTCAACAAACGATCTTTATTCAGCTCTAATTACACCAATTTTAGACAATTTTTGTAGTTTGACGGTATAAAATTAGCTAAATAATGCATATCTCTAATCTGCGTCCCTAGCTGCTTAAGCAAAACTGACAGGTGGGCTAAGCCTAACAAATTTCCTATTACGTTCATCAATCAATAAATCTTTGTGCAACCTGAAAGTAAGGTATCACTCATCACTCGAAAAATAAGGATGTAGCAGATCACAGAATTGTGAGAAATATTTAGCAGTATGGCTCGATGTATGAATATTTTATTTATTAGTCATTATGGTCGTGTAATCTATAATAGGATGATACTGAAATGTCTGTATCAAAAGAAACCTTCTTCCGCTTATTTCTTCGTATTCCGAGTGGAAGAAATGACTTCAAGCTTTTAAGTTTCAGCAGTATTGAGACTGTTTTTTTATGGAGTGACGTTGTTATCCACAGACACAACCTTCTCTTGACTACTAAACCAGGTATTTTAGGAATTTTTTGGTCGGGAATGGAACCAAAACCTTCAGCGTAGTTTCCAAGAATTCTATCATTCAGACACTGACACTAACTAGAGAAGTCTAGCAAGAGAGCGCATTACTCCAGATGTAAACACTACCTGAAACAACTTTGACCAGTAATATCCTATTATGTGATGACATGCAAATAACGCTTTTTTCTCTTTGTCTTCTGTGCTTTATATCTTTTACAGATTTTTCAATTCGGAAGAAATTATGACTAAAACCCATCATGTTGTTCCACCATTGGATGATAATGTTCAACTGACTGTCACTGAATATCGTAATCGTTTATATCAGGTAACAGAAAGCATGTCTGTATGTGTCTGTGCATCAGTCAATCAGTCAGCAAGATTTTATCTTCATTTATTCATTCATACTGTCCAGGAAGCCTGATAGCTTTACAACAAAACTATTTTGTATTGTGCCATAAAATTATACAAGAACATTACATCACAGCTTATCCTGATCACTTATGCTGTTGGGACGAAAATACCTCGATGTGCCTTTCCCTGCTCAAAGAATAATAAAACTACCTATCAAATTATAGACTAATAGTCTGAGACTTCTGGGTTCACTCCGTAGTAGGACCGCAGTTGTGCACTGCTAAAGAGTCGCGAACTACAGAGAAACGACTGTTAGAATTCTTTCTTATTTTTCAATAATCTTCTAAGTGATGTGCGTTTGCAACGATGAAGAGAGAAAAGTTAATGAACTGAAAAAGTGTATTGTATTTAAATGAATTGTTTACCGCTTGATAAAATAATTATTTCCAGTATTCAGTATTTATTTTTTGTATATTTTTGTGCTTTGAATTTTCTCTAGCAGTCTGATAGCTTTTGTGGTGTAGGGTTGCTAGCCCCACGCCCAGCCTTCCCTCTTTACCTGGGCTTGGGACCGGTGGTGAAGACAACAGACGAACAGCAACAACAACAACAACCAACACCAGTCACCATCAACGGGAGAGATTTGACAGAGGTTACCTCCTTCATTTATCTAGGAAGCAACGTTTCAACTACATGTAGCTGGAACGGATGGAGATGTCTAAGCCAGAATAGAAAAGGCAAAGTACACCTTCATCAACCTGAAACCAGTTTGGAAGTCTTCTGCACTCCACAGCATAAAGAACTAGAATCGAATTTTCAACACCAATGTTAAGTCAGTCAGTTCTTCTATGCGGGTCAGAAACTTGCGCTGCGTCACGAAAAGAATTTACGACAAGCTGCAGACTTTTATCAACAGCTGCCTTTGCTGGGTCCACAATGAAGAGCAAATAACTGGCAAGAAAATATTAGGAACAAGAAACTCTGGCAACAAACCAACCAAAAATCTACCGTTCAAAAAATATGTAAGAGAAAATGGAGATGGATCAGACATACATTGAGAATACCGTCGGGTGATATCGCGTGCCAGGCCGTCGCTCAAGTGGAATTCGGATGGGAAGCGACGACTGGGCCGTCGGTGCGAGGGTGACATGGAGGAGATGAGAGATTATGGTCAGTCGTGGACCCAGCTGAAGAGGACGGCAGAAAATAGAAGAAATTGTAGATGTGTTGTTGAAGCCCTGTGTTCCACACTTAACCGTAGGGAATAATAATAACAATAATATAATAATAATTCAATATTTATGTAATCAAAAACTTAAGTTGAACAACAAGAAGACACTCAGAAATGACTAGATGACTATTCGGAAGCTGAGAATTGCCCAATCTAGAATTCATTTTTCTATCCATTTTAATGAAAATGTATGCTTGTGAAGATTTTGATCACCTTATCAAGCTTTATTAACATTAACGTCAAGTTAATGCTTCTACAGGGTTCAGAAACTTGTCATGCACTTTACCAACAGCATTTCTAGCAGGTTACTGTAGACTTTTGTCAATATGCTTCTTCATTTAACAGTGATGAGAAGTCGGGCAGAAAAGGAGAAGCAAATAAGGTGTCTGATAGTCTGGTGAGCCAGTCAAAACCTATAATCTAGTAAATACACAGACGGTATTGGAGATAGATAAGATATACTCTAAGCAGATCGTCAGGTGATATCACATGCCAAGCTCTTGTGTGAGTCGAGGTTGATATAGTGGAGATGGTGTGGAAATGAAGTGAAAACTTTTGCATAGTCCTACAGCCGCTTGTAAGTGTTGACAGAGAACGAAATGTAATGAAGATGTGTTACTAAAGCATTATGTTCCATTCAGAGCTTAAGGAATGAATATTACTAATGATTTAAATGTACTATCGTTGCTATTACACAGGAAGGACTGAAAAGTAAGCATCTGTTAGATTTACTCAGCATATCTCAGACAATCTTTACATGGAAACTAAATGATTGACATGGGGCACAAAGGTGAAATCAGTCAAGCTTTCTAAATGATCAACATACACAGAAAGTGCGGCTACTTCACCTTAAAATAGACACTGCTATCAAACTACTTCAGCTTCATCTCTGCATAAAGAAACATAGTGTGATTAGTCTCACGCTAACGTGATAACTAGACATCGCTGATCTGTTTCTATATTTTGTTACGTCACAATATTTTTTGAGTACAACTCACTAAGCCGAACTCACCATTAGTCCTACAATTTACTTAATTGTTTGTTTACGTCTTAATTTTACTTTTACTTAGCATTCCTTTTTAACCCTTTCCTCTCCTCTTGACCTCTCCATCAGATAACGTTAAATAAACTCTGGTTCTTAGATTATTAACTGTCTTATATTCATATCCCTTGTTCCTTTACTATGCCTTTTGAGTTAAAGTAATTTTTGAGGGATGTTATGCAATTTTCGCATTTGTCATATCTAATTTTTTCAGGCTGTTAGCAGTCGATCAAAAGCCATAATATAAAAAATGCATGAGCCCTTTATTATCCTGCAAATATGTTCGCTCTCACTTAGTTCATTCTCAGATTTGTTTCACTTATACCTAACACTTTCCTGGTCCAATACTAGTGGTAGTTTTGATAGATAGATACTTACAAATACGTATAAATATAATGCTTGATGCTTGAAATGTCTTTATTTTCAGATAATCAATTCAAAGAAACTACGCAAACACATTCGAACAAAATCCACTGATCAATCTGAGAGTAAGAATGCGAGTACAACATGCACAGAAAATGACAACACTACTGAACTTCTCACAGTAAGAAATACAACACCGGTAGAAAACTCTCGAAATTCCAGTTGTCAAGGCATCCACTGGAAAGAAAGTTTACCAAATTCACAAACACCTTGTGGTATGAGCGTGAATGATATAAACCAGGCCTATTCAAAATCAATGAATAAAATATCTACTAATCGTGGATGTCCACAAAATCCTAATATGGGTGATTGGAACCCAGAAAATACAAGACCTATTTCTGATTTGGCTACATATACTGTGGTATCCAAATCTTCAGTATCAGTAGCTAGACCTTGTTCACAAATAGAAACAACAACAAAAGCAACAGACGAACCTTCTCGGATTAGGTAATTTATCTTATTCAAGAATGAAAAATTAGTACTTATATTCTCGCCTACTGTTTATTTATTAAATAGTTTATAGCAAAGCAATGAATGCAGTGAAAAAGTCAGCAGAGATATCTTCTCTCCGATTTCATTCTCAAAATCAGCTGTATCATCACATTTTTTTGAGAAATAAGTTTGCATGGTTACAAATGTTATAGTAACGGAAAAAGGTCAAAAGAGATAACAGTTTTCAGCTTCATAATAATGTGCTCATTCAGTTAATTTAACTTATAATATCCTATCCATTATGGAGTTATACTCTACCACATTGCCCAAGTTTTATACTTATATCAATTTTCAGTTTCATATGAAAGTTAGGCGCTGTGAAAAATGAACGTACATCATAAGGGATATAAGAATTAAATAATATAGGATTTGAACAACGGTTGCGAAATATGTTAAATAGTTTACAATGAAGACAGTTGTGAACGGGATGTGCACAGAAAAATTGGAATAAAGGTTCTTCTTTAACTGAGGATGAAAGAATACGAAGGCATTAAAAATGAAACAATTAAGACATGCATAGAACGATGTAAAACGGATTAACTGGGATGTGTAGTTGTATTTCACTCACATAAACCAATAGTACTTCTTAGCCACTTGGAAGTGATCTAAATGCCGGATGGCCGTTTCGTTAATTTGGGGCTGAACTCATCAGTGGTGTGTCCGGTTTAAATTAGCTAAGAGAGCCGAATTCTGACTACCTATCTGGGTGAACATGTGAAACGTCGGATCAAAGTCATAATCAGCAAAGTCATTCGTGACCTGCAATTTACACAAGTCGGAGTGAAGTTGCACATATCACAGGGCATATCAAGAGGTCTAAATGTTGCGTGTCATTAAGTTTTTACATTGCATTACATCCCAAAATATGTATGGTGTTGATTAATATTCACACTGAAATTTATTAGGTCTGATTATAAACTTCATATGAATTAGTGATTATATCAAAAACTGGAGGAGAAGATGGAGTCAAAGGGTACGCTAGGGTAGAAACGAGCAAGCAACCATAGATAAAGAAAATAAAAGCTCTATTCGTACAAGTGTAAATACAGTGGAAGTTGAAATAATCAGATAAACTTTTCCAAATAAATAAACAGGAGATTGAGGAAAATAATATTTTAAGGACTCAAGGTGGTACCAGTCAGTATGACGTAATGTAGTGTTAATAGATTTATAGATTCCACAGGGGAACAGGATTACAACAACGCCTGGACAAGTTTCTTTTATAATCAAATTTCTGGCTGTTTTAACCGAACTGCTATGTCCTCTGCCGTTTAGAGTATTGTTGTCATAGCTGGTAATATTCAACGCTCCCCAAATAAAAATAAAAATTTTCTAAATAGCACTTCAAATCCAACTCCTTGTTTTATTTTGGTTTATCACTGATATTTCAAGTGATTATTTTACTTTTAAAAGTGAAGACAACAATCATAATGACAATGGCGAAGAAAAGGAATCATATGGAGGAATACTGATGGAATCTTCAGAAGTGATGAAATCATCAGTGGACCAAACGACAACTGTAAACAATACTACTACTGCTAACAAGAATAATCATAAACAGTGTCATGCATTTTCTAATAAGGAGTCAAGAATGTGTAACTCTACAACAGATTATTATTCTGTCAATGAAGTTGGCAGTGAAATATCAAATCATAACGGTGGTAGTATTGGTAACAATAATAATCAAAAATGCATTGCACCAAGTAATTTACGAACTATACAGGTAATTAGGAAATTCCCAGTGTTTCATATCTAATGTTGTTGTTGTTTTTGTTGAGAACTGTCTCACAACCGACTGGTTATTTATTCAATATGACTAAAATGGACTCAAACCAGCTGACTTATCCGTCGTACTCGTTGGTGGTATAGTCAAATATTCTCTGAATGTATCAGTTCCCATTGAAATGGTATCACAATACACAAATAGGCCATTGCGTAGAATATTAGTTTCTGTCACTATACTTTATAGTTGTCAGTACTTGATTTGTAAATTTCAGCCAGTACTAACATTTCGGAACGTTAGGCATTAATGCTTTGAGTGTTGGGATTCGCGTGCATCACTGTGATCTAACTGACTGATCAGACTAAAGTGGAATGATAGCAATTAAAAAATTGATCGTACTTTTGTGAGCGAGTGATCATAGCTCACATGGAAAGCTGTACTACAGAACAACTATTCACCAACATATGTAAATCATGAATTATTCTTATTTTTTGCAGTAGGTTACTGGATTGGTAACTTGGAGGCTGTCGTGATTCAGACTCTCATTTCCACATTTCAGTCATCATCCACTATATTGATGACAGTTTGTCAACCTAAAGTCATCTCCAGTGTTCTTACTGTGAATTCATAAATTGTCATTTTCATGCCAAAGCATGGACTTGGATAGTTTAAATACGAGATATTTAACAGACAAGGAATCATCAACGAAGTCAAAATATCATTAAAGAGCTGATAAATTCTTATTGATAGATACTGAGGTCGCATTTCTGTCTCCTCTCCCAACTAATAAGTTGTTTAGCTTGGCGATGAACACCACTCATATTTCTGGCTAATACTTTCTCTTGGATTAATGTTCTTAAACAAACAAGTAGTTATTCACCTTATGATTTATCACTAATATTCTCAGTAGAAATATACGTTGAATGTTTAATTTTCATCAGCTTGAACCTTTTATGGACGAGTGGAAGAGGAAAGTTCTTCGATTACCCAATGTAATGTCAATCGAACCGCGTGATGAAGCCAGTTTATATGTCATTTCAATGTACATTATTTTGGAAAGCGTAAATATTTGACATTGTTTTCCTTTATAACATTTTTATGGTTCAGTGTGACCGTTAAACAATCAATGTGGAGGTGCTTAGGAGAATTTTAAGTAAGAAAGGGAGCTTGCAAAAACCTTATCAGCTGAAGTAACTCTGTCGCTTAACCCTGGCAATCAACAATAGCTGAATGAGGGTTAAGTTAACAAGAAGACAATGGTGATCAAATCGACATATGACATTAAGCCATAAATTTACTGAATACTGTAGCTTGAATACCGTAATTAGGTGTTCAGATTGTTTGCATGCAGTTTATGTGACAGTTGCAACATAAAAGATACGTCTGAGAAGTGGTTAGGCTAAATGAGATATATTCATGGCCTACTCATATCTTAATAGTTATTTAACTTGTTTGTGTATTTACCTCTATTTGTGGGTACTCGGGATTTTTAGTTGTATGGTTTCATTATCATAAGTCATTTCAGACTACACTGATTCTGGTTGTGTAATTTCGAAATGCTAACAACTCGCCCAAGAAGCCAGCCAGAAATCGGATGATTTCAACTCATTTAGCTTCCTCAAATTAGTTTCACACGGTACATTTATGATTTTTTCAAACCCAAAAGGGTGCGATGAAGTCGTCTAGTGTTTACCTTTATTTAGCTAATAAACACTACTGTCTAACATGAGTGGTTGACAACTACTCATACTAAATAATCAGTAGGATGTATTATCTTGTTACAGTGCTTGTTTTCATCATTACACTTACATTAGTATCAAGTAGATCACCTATATTGTGATCTGAATAGTTTAATTTTGCAGAGGAAATTGTGACGAAATTTCAACCTGAACTGTGTAACTTGCAGTTGACGAATTTGATCACAAGTGTGTCTGACTGAAGGAGAGTATTACTCCATTTTTAAATACGAAAAGAGGTATAAGGCAGAGACTATACATTCTTTAAACAGACGAATGTTCTCCTAATGTCACTGCGGGAGCATTTAAGATTACTTTATGCGTCCTTGCGACAAAATGATCACCTGAGTGTTCCATCCTGCATCCTCTCTACGCCGATATTCATGAAGCGGAAACTGACACCATCTTCATGTTCCATTGTTGAATAACCTAAGCAGATATGACGCATGACTTAGATCATTGAACACAATGAATACGTCGGCTATGTATTTGTAGTAGGCTACTGTTCCATCTGTTGCACATTTAAGCTTTGTCTGTTTAAGACAAGCCATAAAAATATCTGCCTATGCAGGACCCCATAGACTGCACATTGCCACTCCACCACCAATTTGGTGATATGATTTGTCGTTGAATTGGAACTGTATATTATTGGTACACAAAAAGAGCAGCTGTTTAAATTCATTCAAGTGTGGTTAAAGGGAGGAGATTGGCGTAATGGCAGATGATGTCTAAAGTTTCATTAAATAGGACCTGTGTGAACAGGGAGATTACATCAAAGGAGATCATACATTTATTACACACATGAAGCCGACTATATTTTTAGCGAATTGGAACGAGTCCTTCAGAGTATGTTTAACCATTTCAAATTTAAAAAAGGGAATTCCTGTATGAAGTTTCACTCTTTAATGAACATTTTCTTCTTGGAGTCCCTTTGTTCTTGATCTGTATATTCGCATGTCTTTTTTTCTTACCGGGGATCACGTTTGATGCAGATTTTCTGTTTTTCTCATAGACTGATAATGACAGTGGATTTGATGGCATACAGTCTAGACACCTCATAATTTGCAGTTCGTATATTATATTTATTAGGATTATGTATAATAAAGTACTGTATTTTAAGAAAATCCTGAGCTCTGAATTTCACGTGTAACTCAAACGCTTGGTTACACTAATCCAGAAGAAATTATCTCTTGGGATTAATGAGAAGGAATCTTCATTAATACTGTCTGCATTATGATCAAAGATATATATAAAACTGAATCTTCAATGTCTACCTCAACATTTTCTTTCCTTATTTCCCATAGAATCTTAGTGAATCAACGCTAAATATTTTGAATTCTGAATGCAATAAGTCAACCAGCGGACAAATTCCTCACAATACTTCTAATAATGACAGCGATAACAACAATAACAATATGAGCAATGGTCAACACAATTTAAGCACTAACTGGAAGTTGAACGCATCAAATTCAAGCAATAGAATGAATAATGCATTTCGAAAGTCTTTTTCTTCAACAAGTCTACCATCAGTTAAAGGGAAATTAGATCATCAAATGAATGCAAAAATTACACAACAACAAAATCAAATGTCAGATAATGCCTACAGTGATTACCAATCATCTTCACAACAGTATCAGCATCATTCACATCCGCCACCTCATCCTCATTCACAACACCAGTATCAATCTTTAAAGAATTCAACACTAAATCTTCTTTCAAATGACCAGGGTAATTGAGTTATTTGCTTATTTATTAAGTAATTTATGTATTTGCGAATAATCCCCATCCAGTCATGAATGGAAAAAAAACAGCAGAGTTAGTGTTCATCGAAGACGTCCTCTTCAGAGGATTCATTTTCTTTAGCTGTAAAATCGCATTTATATACAATATTTTTCCATGAAAGAGGTTAGTCACGAAAATGATGGGTTGCCCCAATTATAGTTCTTAGTATTAGTCAGTGCATAAGAAGAGTAACGTGAAAGATGAATAACTTAATGAATGAGTTAGAATCAGGATACATATAAAAACAAATGGAAATGTGATATTACGTAAGAAATCAAAAGAAACACTTGAGTTAAGAATCAAGAAACAAGCAAAAATCAATTCAGCAGAAAATAACGGGGTTGTTACCATGATATCAGAAGTGGCTGAATAATTCTGTTTTTTATTCAAAACCCATGTCTCTGCAGCTGAATGGTTACAGCTTCAGCAGTGAGGAGGAGACGAGAACATGTTGTTTTTGGTAGGTTATTCCTCACTTTGTAGATCACTTTGAAAGAAGAGTTTATGTTAAAAAGGTGTTCAGTGATCACATTCCTTACACAGCTACTACTGAATTCTCGCAACCATACAGAATCTTTTTACATATGGTATGTGTCAAAAGATCAATATATCTATCTCCACATGAACTGATATATGCATATAGAAGTAATCAGATGCTACATCTTGATTTTCAGGCTTGTGCAGACCAGTAGATGACTACACATCACTACACTCAGAATGGTTGAGACGAATGTCCTTCCCAAAGATACCAAAAGTTTCCTCTTAAGCTTGTTGCTTGAAATCAACGTCTGTGTAAGGTGTCACTTTTGGAGAAAACAGTGATGTTTCATTTTTCCCAACTTTCGGTTTTATGTGCTTGTCAATAAATCTCTATGGATATCTATTTTGGGTGAAGAATTCTTTTTCAGACGGCTTATTTCTTATTCTAGAGCGCCACAGTTACATATGTGTTGGATACGATTGACAAAGGATTTAATTAAATTTCTTTTTCGTTCAAAAAACAATTAATTGACGCTACATGTGGGTTTTCTATAGAAGAACATTTTTAAGCTTGGGTTGGCTCCTCTTGTAACCTCGACATCAAGAAAGAGAATCTTACATTCGCTTCAACTACTAGAGTGAATTTTATTGTTGGATGGCAGTTGTTGAACACCTGTGATAGCTGAATAATGTCATAAATATTTATCACAACTTTATGTATTCCACATTGATAAGGGTGTTTAATACTCATTATTGGGATAAATTCGGTTAGGTTTCATCACGAAACGATATTAGCTAGAGGCACTATTGAAAACCACCAGGAAATACCGTCTTGGTTTGGGAAACTTCAGCAGTACACACTCAAATGCCAACCTGAGACCTGACCCAAGACTTTAAGTTTACTAAGTGAGCATGTTATAATTCTGCCAACTGGGAGGAATCTATTCCTCCATTTAAATTCTAACTTCTGACGATTCATGATATTTAACTCCAGTACTAGCTAAAGTCATCAGTTTGTATCTAACCTCACTGCGCTTCGGTGAAATTGACAAGTCATTATGTTCGACGATAAAAAAAGTCATTATGTTATTAGAGAAAAGTGATTTGTTGTTATAGTATTTCTAATAAACTTGGAAAAGAAATCGGCCATTCAATTCCATCTCAGTCAGTGAAGGTTCACTGGCCTGGTCTCCTAACCCGAAGGTTCTTGATTCGATCCCTGGCTGTGTGGCCATGATTGAGTTCTGCTGAATGGTTCCAAACTACAACGAAACAGCTGTCCAGTATTCCATTGTTTTCAATGGTTCTATAACTAATTGACGTTAACCCTCTATCAAACGTGAAACCAACCAAATACTCAAAGGGTTATACTTGATAACATTAATAACAAGAATAGGCTAGTGAATATTTTCTCCACCTTCTTCTTATTCACTTATTACATAACAACATTTCAGTGAATGTAATCCGTGCAAGTAATGATTCGTTGATTGAAATAAAGAAAGCGGAAAATGCAGTGAAAAAATCTGATGAATCTGGAAGTCCACTTGTCAAAACCTTGACATCAATAAATAACAGATTGGTAAGTTTAACTACGTGTTTACATTTCTTTTTCCTATATGAAATAAATTCAAAAGTAGAACATGGAGATGGTCTTAATTATAATCTATTGTTATTAGATGGTTGGAGGCAATCGGCAGGAAGCATGGACGTAGTTGGCACTCATAAAAAATAACCCATTGCTGTTAACGTAGGATTTATTTTACATTCAGGTATTCTAGTTCCCACTCTCACTGCTGACAATGCGGAGAATGCATCTAAACACAGTCGAAACAGAGGTGATTTAGCATGAAACTGTCTGTCTTTCACAGTTAACAGTTGCGATAATCTAAAATTATTATATGAATCACAATTTCATTAGATGACTGGAGACAGCAGGAAGAAGGTTTTGGACCTGGATTGCATGCTTATCAACACTTGCCAGTCACGAAGGAACTGATGATCCTGTCGGACACGGGAACATGCATCACACAATCCTGTAGTCAGAATGAGTTATTAAGGTCAGACAATTATCTCCTGTGAAACTGTATTAGATGCATTGGTTGATCAATATGCAGTAACCAATTTCATGTGCCTAGTTTTCCGTTTTCGTTCTGACTAAATTCTACCAATGTATTAATAAAGCCAGGTGAGTTTCCACTGCAGTGCACTTCGAAATGGTTTAGGGTGAATGGATGTAAGCCGAAAAAAATCCCTGGCACTGGCTTTTATAAGTAAGTTATTATGTTCGGTTGGTGATTGAAATAACAATAGACATATAAATGAGTTTCTATAGAAGTCAAAGGAGAGGCCTCCAAGTTACCGATTAGTTAGCCAGTCTACCGACTAAGCTGAACAACCTTGCTATTAATGACAATTCTCGATTTCACTGGAATGTTGCCACGGCTGCATCATATGAATGAACTGTAAGTAGCTCTCCTTTCATCACTACACAAAATAGCTGCTCAGTTGGGTCATCCGATCTTGTTCGACTTATTAATTCAACTATGACGAATAGATGATTTATAGGATTAATACTCAGAATTATGAAGGGATGCCTCCATTGATTATGCCTCGATGTTTTAATGGTAGAATGCTCGTCAGACACGTCGGAGGTCTGGGTTCCGTTCCTGGCCGACACGCTCCTATACGTCACGTTTTCGGTATTAAGCTCAAAATCGAGGTGGGGAAGTGTATATGGCTAACAACCTCACTCCGCAAAAACAAAGCCACACCTACTAGAACTTCCAGCCCCATGTTCTACTCACAACACAACGGAATTAAATAATAATAAAGAGCATAGAATAATAACTGCGGAGTAATCATGTCATGTATCTAGTCCTTAGTTTTGGCACTGACTGAATTCCACCAATCAATCGAATTAAGTTTACAATTTAAATACAGATCATATAGAGACTTGATTTAATGGTCTCTAGGCTGCCATCTGAACGCTGTACTCACTGCTCCAACAGTTACATATACTATCTCAGTAAGAGAAGTATCACATCTGTCACCTTCACGTTCATGTCTTCAAGTCATTACAGAGTGAAATTCAGATCTCAATTTTATTCGCACTCCATCTGGATAATGAATTCTGAAGTCACGTAATTTACTGAGGTTTTGGCAGTCAGTGGACAAAATTAATTCCGATAAGACTGAGTGCTTAGTACATGAGAGTTTTCAAGCTCAATTTTGCATTTTTACTAATACACACAAAATCACTGTTGTTTTCAAGTATACCGTAGTTCATGCGACTTTTGAGTTATAGAATAAGAGAGAATCCACTAGATCACAGTCTCCCTCTACCGAGTTTTGGGATTTACAAGTGAGTATGCTATGTGTCATGTATAAAAGCTGGAAATTATGATGACTAACAAATAAGCTGAAATTCAACAATTGACAGTTTTGTTGTTACTCTTTAACGGTATCTGGAGAAACTTAAAGAATAGCAACCCTGGGGGAAAGAACGCACCAATGTCTTTAAAACGACCGATTACGCAAAAAAAAGCCAAATTTGACCCCCTAGCTATAATTTCACCTCAAATTAAACTTTATGTAGCCAGATATCCTTCCTTCTTATACCCCTTTTTACAAATATGGTGTTTCCTACTTTGTTTTACTAAATTACTTTGGTGGCTCGGTTTGTCAGTGCCCTCGCTCCCCCGAAGCTTCTATTCCTCAATTAGGCCGGCTTCTAGCCTGTTATAGTAGTAAAACATTATTAACGTTTAATTGTTGATAAGTCATATTAACTTGTGAGTTAAAGAGAATCAGTAAGACACGTACCTTACAAAACCTGATTGTGTCATGGCTAAGTCAAACCATAGCGGCCACTTTTATCAACTTTAACACTGACCTCATTGGTATTAGGAAGCATTCGCGAAATTGGTAAAAGGATGGTTACAGATCACAGTATTCTGAGATACGTTTATATTTTTGATTCTCTCCTTTAATCTACTTCAATTCAAGAAGACCAGTGACCTTGTCAGGCTTCCCCCTCGCATATTCATGTTTTAGTTACCTCAGTTAATCCACCTTTTGCAGGGTTAAGCAAGTCGAGAACAGAATACATAATTCCCTTTGCCTCTGTTACCATTGTTCTTTGATAGATCAACAGTAAGAGAAGTCTTAAGCTGTTGTTTATTGATGCTGATGTATAGTGAACGTTGTCTAAAAGCTCAACAACTTCCCACTATAAAGCCAACTAGACAAGTAGATGTTCAATTCTCAATGCGTCTCTTTTCTGTTACTATTTATTTAGAATCATCTACTTGCAACATCATCATCACCTGCATCATCATCGACAGAACACTTAAACTATCCTAATAACAACACAGGAAATAAATCCAAATCATCAATATATCATCAACGGTTAACAACTAATCATAATTCATCTGAGCAGAATATTGTGTCAAATTTCAATTATATGGATACTTACCATAAGTATAAGTTTAGTAAATCAACAAATAACTTATTCAATAATTTGAATGCATCAACTAGTGGTTATTTAACACCAAGTCAAAAGCATCAAACTACTTCAAATTTGAGTAAAGAACAAGACTGTAAATCGAATTTCGAGAATAAAATTACTGAGGTAAATCTACTGTCTATTCGTTAAATTTTTTTACCATACCCCACTTATTTATTGTTAAATCTTTTAGCGATTATAGTAGCATCATTCTATATATATATATATATATATATATATATATGTTCCTTTTTGTGGCATGCTTTCATGTGTGACATATTCCTTTTGCGTACTTCTGTGAAAAGCTCGTTCCTTGTCAAATATTTAGACATGGTATAGGCACAATAGTGGTATTGGTAAATTAGCCCTAATAATTAATGCGGCAACACTTAAAAAGAAAAAACGTAGGTTATGTCACTGATATAATTTAAAGAATATCTCAAAGAAAATTAGCTCTGAACATCTGTTTCTCCTTAGCTTCGGAATCCTAAGTAGCGCATAACCACTAATTTATGGACCACTGGGTTCCAACTGAGTCTACGACTTCATAAAATTAAGATCCTGGGCTTGGTACGTGTTGCTATTCTGAGCGGACGCCGCTGGAAACTCCTAAACAAGGATGTAACATATGTATGTATGTTTTACCAGCTGGTATCGGTTGATGAGGAAATCTGCGCTGAAACAAATCAACATCCGTTGTGGAAAGACTGGTGCAAAGGGAGAAGGTAAGATTTGCTTAGTGGATGTATTCCCCCCTCAACTAGTTAACTGATTTCCTAGTTTAGTAACCGGTCCTAAGACTAGAGAGTCAGGGAAGTTTGGGCGTCAAACTATGGACTGAACCCAGCAAATGCACGCAAATATACGGAAATCTGTAAACACAGTGTTAAAAATTAACTTGTTCTTCACTTAAGTTAAGTAGGCAAAGTGACACATGCTGGTCAAAGCCTTCAGGAGGTCAGTCAGCAGCTGTGTCTTCTTTCTAAGGAAGAAAAGTTAAGCATGCAGGAGTGGAATGCACGTCCGCATCATATTGAGGCTGGGAGATGAGGACTGTCAGGCTGCAGAAGAAACGAGAGGATATCGCATTGAAGTACCAAGAATCCGTAAAAACAGATGGAGTTGAGATGGGCTCCTCAAATTGTCAACTGGACGGTCAGTCTTCTTTGGTCACCCAGACGACAACCACGAGCACACTAAGGGAGTGGCAAATATGATGTCATCAACACTACCGAAGTCTCATAATCAGTGCGAACCAATCTTCCCCAGAACAATGAGAAGAAGATTCTACCGAAAAGGTAGGGAAGTTACAGTTATCCAGTACCATACTACTATAAACAACGCAGACCAACAAAAGAATCATGTCTTCCGCAGACAACTGCTAACAGTGATGAACCGAGCTCTAAATGGCGATATGAAAATCCTAATCAGTGATATGATTGTCAAACTTAATAATAATAACAGCTTTATTCTGGATAGTATTTATATAATGAACGCAATTTTCAGAGCAGTTTATTGCATGATATTTTCCTTTCGTGCAAAATATTAATTGACAGTACATTCTGTGACACAATGCTCTCTGAACTGAGGTACAAACCATTCCATTATGATATTTCTGCCTTTTCTCCTTCAAAAAATCCACAACATCTAGTTCAAAGCCAACTGTGAGAAGTTCTGAAGTACATTTTGAGACCAAAGGAGATAATTCAAGAACAGTTATCTTGGCGAAGTTGAAGAATCATAGCTAAAGCCCAGGTCTTTCACAAGTTGACCTTCAAGAACCAGTCGGATACAGGGAATGTTATGAAAGATCATTCCAAATCAGATCACACCTGCCTTTTCGGACTTGGAGAAGGTAGATACAGTATTCCACCTATTCTGTAGGTACCTTTTCTGTAAATCTATACTGTTAGGTAGGGTTATGGCTTTTTAGATTAAGGTTCAGGGTCTAGAGTTAAAGTCAGGATTATGGTTGAAGTTAGGATTAGGTTAAAGAATAGTGTCAGAAATACCAATAGATCTCCAAGTACCATGACCCAAAGACACCTAGATGAATGCATCTAATGAGGATGGCATGATTTTTGTATAGATCATCTGTGTAGTGACTGGGAGATATTCCCACAACACATAAGCGGCTATATAGCGCAATAGGATGTTCGCAGTGGCTTTCATTGCATTTTCAACGATTATTCGACTTTTTGCATGTGAGTTCTGATTGATTGTTCAAGGTCACCGCGGTTTTGGCCGTTGTATTAGAACAGCACAAAAATTAAATAACAAGCACGCTGGGGTATGATGTGAAAAGCAGAACACAGACTTGGGTTGGGACACTTTATAATTAACAACCGTCTCAAAAGAAGAGGAAGCCAAAGTTAGATACAACAAAAGAGATAGGCTATAACTGTTCAGTGGCCGCCAGGTTTTGAACTGATGCTTTCTTTCAAATTCAACCCACTACACAATCCCTTCACTTCCAAAAAGCTGTCCTCATCGACTTCCATGTTGAGTTCTCCCCGCCTTCGCATCATCCCTGCAAGAGAAAGAGACACATGGTCATTATGACTATCAATATAAGGCGGAGTGTTCCTCGGCGTCTGTTTGCTTGATCTGAACCGTTTCAAACGGTTGAAGTGCACTATCATGCTCAAAGAATTGCTGGTGTCCTCCTGGATTTCATATGTATTGTCAGTTACTCTTCAGTACACCAAATATGGACCTTCCCACTGTGCTTGAGCTTTATTTCGACTCCAGTTGTCAGTCCTTGGTCGATGCAGCCACACCTTATCACCTATATCGAATGGTACTCCCCGCTGCTTCTCATCATAGTAATGTTTCTGCCGTTCTTGTTCTCTCTGGAGTTCATCGCAAGCATAACTATGGTATCTAGATACGTCTCCACGTAACCATTTCTGATGCGGTCAGTGGATCATCCCATCGGGGCATCGCGTCGGTGGCACAGTGGTTAGGACTCTCACCGACCATGCACATGGTCCGGGGTTCGATCCCCTGCCGGCGCACACCCGATATCTATGGTCGGCCTGAATTTGGGCTACCGATATCCATGCTGAAAATTCCACACTTGTACTGAAAATACGGTGTGGAATCAAGCTGTAAATCAAAAAAAACAAACAAACAAATGTTTCACTAGGCAGCAGTAACTTGCTGCCAGTCCAAAACAGGTGTGGTGTCTTCCCCGTCGACATATGCGTACTTCCTCGGTAGTCCAGCAAGCATTTTGGTAAAATATTGTCCCAGACTGATTCAGCTTCGCTCTCCAAAACTAGTCATGGTAATTGTTTCAACGTTAGATCGGTGCACTTTACTAACCCATTACCTTCGGGATGGTATTCTGTCACTCTTGACTTCTTAATTCCAAATAGGTGACACAATTTTCTAGCCAAGTGACTTTCAAAATGGGTTATTTGATCAGAATGTACTTGCTCTGGTATGTCCCAACGAGCAATCCAACAGTCGAATATAGCTTTGGCTACCGTAGAAGCATAAATTCACTGAAGGAGTACAACTTCACACCATTTCGTAAAATAATCGACCATGACCAAGATGCATTTGTTCTCACGCGTGGTCTCACGTTACGGTTCTATGACGTCCGCGTCGATTATTTCGTTGGGATATCCAGTCTTCACATTAGTAAGTGGCGCTCTAGGTTTCCTCTCTGGGTTGTTTACCTTACCACATGTTGCTCACCCCTCGACAAAGTCTTGGACGTCACGCCACTCGCGAGAGCAACACTAACGTTGTGCGACTGCTTGCAGCATCTTATTAATTCCAGAGTGTCCCAAGTCATAATGTATCTTCTGCGGAATTGCTATTACCAACGATTGATGGATTACAACTCTTCTCAAGTAATTTAGGCCAGGTTGAACACACAAGATACCATTCACAGGCACTAAATGGTCCCATTAGGCCCACAAACATCTGGTCTCCCAACTATTCCCCTTCACGTCAGCTTCGACTGGTCTACCAGTCTGATCCGACAAGGCGTGACATAGGAGCGCAGTCTCACCGTCTGTAGCCTGGATATGTACCCACTGTTCTGTACTTAGGCCTACCAACGAAATATTATAAATATCAATGCTCTCACAGGGTGAGCAGTCTCCGTGCGGTCCAAAGGAACGTCTGGATAACGCATCAGCATTGGCATGCCTTTTATCACTCCATTATGGATAAGATTTTATTTTGATAAATCACACAGTGTTGTACAGTTGTATTAACTGATGACGTTTCGAGCACAAACTGTACAGCACTGTGTGATTTATCAAAATAAAGTCTTATCCAAAATGGAGTTATACTCTACCACAGTGCCCAAATTTAATACTTATATGCCTCTTGTCAGGACGGTGTACACATTCAAAATCGTATTCTTTGGGGTATCCAGGCCATCTTGCGATCTTTCCTTCAGAGTCCTTGAAGTTTTGCAGCCACTGATAAAATATGTTATCCGTTCGCAGTAAAAACGGTTTACCAAATAAGTAGGGTAGATACTTACGAATGAAGGTAACATAAGCTAGCATTTCTTTTCTGGTGGTGCAGTAGTTCTCTTCTGCACAAATCAATGTGCGGCTGCCATATTCAATAACATGTTCTTTGCTGTCCCTACCAACTTGAGATAATACGGCTCTAATGGATGTGTGGCTAGCATCGGTGTCCAATATGTATTTACCGGCTGTTGGTGATGTACCCGAGAATGCTAAAGTAGGCGCCGAGCATAACAAATCATTCAGCTACTGAAAAGCACGGCCACAATCCTCCGTCCATACGGAGGGAATATTTTTCCAGTCAACCTTGTTGATTATATTATTATTATTGTTCCCTTGGGTTCCTAGTGGAACATAGGGCTTCAACTGCACGTCTCCACTTGCTTCTGTCTTCTGCTGTTCTTTTCACTTGCGTCCATGTTATTCCATACTGTTTCATCTCCTCCTCACACGATCTCCTCCATGTCACCCTTGGACGTCCCACTCGCCGCTTCCCTTTCGGGTTCCACTCGAGGGCTTGACGCGCGATGTCACTCAACGGCCTCCTCAGCGAGTGTCCAATCCATCTCCACTTCCTCCTGCATATTTGTTGGGCGATTGGTTCCTGTTTCGTTTGTTCCCATAGCTTCTTGTTTGTGATTCTTTCTGGCCATCTAATCTTCAGTACGGAGCGAAGACGGTTGTTGATAAAGGTCTGCAACCTGTTGAAAATATTCTTGGTGACCCGCCAAGTTTCTGATCCGTAAAGCAAAACTGACTTGACGTTTGTATTGAAAATCCGAATTTTGTTGTTGATGGTGAGTGACGAAGATTTCCAGATTGGTTTCAGGTTGATGAATGTGTTTCTCGCCTTCCCGATTCTCGATTTGACATCCTCGTCCGTTCCTCCTGTGGTTGAGACAATGCTCCCCAGATAAGTGAAAGAAGTAACCTCTTTCAAATCCCTCCCGTTGATGGTGATTGACGGTGGATGTTGCTGCTGCTGTTGTTGTTGGTTGGTTATTTTCATGACCTCCGTCTTGTCTATGTTCACCTGAAGTCCTGTCTTTGATGCTTCTTCAACCAGTTTGTCGGTTTTTGCTTGTAAGTCTTCGATTTTGTGTGACATCAAACATAAATCATCCGCAAAATCCGGGTCTTCTAGGTTCTTCACGTCGGTCCAGGATATCCCTGTCTTCTCGTTTCCCACTGTCTGACGCATAATCCAGTCCACCACAATTAGGAATATCATTGGTGATAATAGGCACCCTTGTCTGACTCCTGTGTTTACTCCAAACGCTTTGCTGAGTTGAAGGGCTGGCGATTTCTGAGTAGTTTCTCACGAACCGGTGGTAATAGGAAGCTAACCCCAGAAAACTGTGTAACTCATTCGTGGAGTGTGGTGTGGGCCACACTTTGACTGATGCAACTTTTCTAGATCGCTATGAACGTCCTGTGCGCTGGCGAAGTGCCGTAGGAAAGTGACTTCCGCTTCGGATAGTTGACATTTAGTGGACTGAACCTTGAGTCCCACCTCCTTCAAACGTCCTAAGGCCATTCGCAGTCTTTTGAGGTATTCTTCGACGGTGTGACTGAACACAGTGATGTCGTCTAAATATACCTGGTGAGCTTTTGAAACTAGTCCTTTAAGTACCGTGTGTATCGACATTTGAAGCAACGTTTCAAACGTTGCTGGTGCGTAACTTAACCCAATAGGCATAATCTGGATTTTGCACGACTCAGTGAATACAGTAAAAGCAGTTTTATGCTGATCACAATGGTGTACTTTGACCTGCCAATATCTGGAAGCTAAATCAAGGGTTAAAAACTTGATGGCGTCTGGTAGTGCTTCTAACGTTTCGTCTGTTCTCATCAAGGAGTGGGCATCTTTCCTAGTCACCATGTTTTAATTCCTGTAATCAACGCACAAGAGGGTGGAGCCGTTTTTCTTCTTAACTATTATTATAGGAGGAGCTCACAGTGAGTTTGATGGTGCGATTGTATTTTTTTGGAACATTTCCTCATTGGTGTTTCCCGATTGTGGGCGGAACTTAGATGGGACTCAACGAGGTGTTTGTGTTATTGGGGCACAGTTACCAGTTTCAATAGTATGCTGGATGGCTGTCATTCTCCCTAGGTCGGCCGGTGACCATGAGACCAACCCAGAAAACTCTGAAATTAGCCGATGTACAGCCTCTTTGTGTTCTCCAGGAACTTGTACCAACATGCTTGCCATCAAGTCAATATCAACTGTATTCACACTCAACTGTAGATGCGTGGTACCACTGTCTGACTCGAGCAGTAATGTAGAACCTAAAAGAGTGATCATTTGAGATTCCGTAGCGGTTGAGGCTTTACAACTGCGTAGGAGGTTATAGCCTATAAATAAATCCCATGACAGTCCCTTAATTACTAGACAGGGATGCCACAAGCGATCATGCCTACCTTTCCACAATATCAGTAGCTCAGATGTCACTTTCATTCGGGACCCATTGGCCGCTTGAATGTTTAGGTGGGGGGAAGGCTGTCAAGAATGTATCACTACAATGTCTGCTGGACAACAGCGGGTGAGCTGAACCAAGCCATTGAGAGTTCTGTCCTGAAATTTTACTAAAACAGTTGGCAAGCGCTTAGCTATACATGGGCCCTTGGATATCTGCATAACATTAGGCACAGCAAGAGAAGACTCACCAGTTTCCTCTGAGAAGCCCGCCATCGGGCGTGACTGACTCGGTGTGTTTCTTTCTTTGGGGTAGGTCAGGGAAACTATCGAGATCTCCATTTATTGGATGTAGGTGTCTTTATAAGACGCTCACGATCCATTGTTGGTTCTCAGAGCTCTTACAGCATATGGGACCTTTCTGTTGATTGTTGGTTTCTACGAAGATTTATGAGCGAATCCTTCTGTATGGCGACCTGAAGTGCTTCGATGACACGTTCCCTCACTTCATCGTGGAATAAACCCTTTTCAAAGTGGTGAAGAAAACGGGAGCAAATAGCTTCTGCTGAGTCTCTCCCAAAAGCCACAGAAGCCAGCTCTTGTAGGTGCCGGAGGTATTCCTCTGTGCTTTCGCTGCTGCGATGGACGCATACATGAGAGGCTGCCATAGAACATATGTGTGTGACGCAAATGCTCGACGCATGGCCGTAAAAGGCTCTACCTCCAACGTCTCCCTGGTGTTAACCACAGCTAACTTTAGGCATTTCAGTATGGATACCGATAAGGAGTAGATGATAGCACTAGCTCTTTGATCTTCATCGAATTGTTGAATATGGCGCCAACATCGTTTTTCCCATAAAGTGAACGATTCCCCTGGGATAAACTTTTCTTGTGAGGGAATTTTCGTTTTGCTTTGTTTCTTGACGACTGTACTTTTGAGTCAGTGGTCATCAAAGCTGTTTGGAATGCTGAGACCATTGCTTGAATCAAGTTAGCAGCAGGCGTTGAGATCTGCAAAATCAATGGGGTTGATGACTTCTCTGGTGGCATTTTGGTATCGTCTTCTTGATCATGTGTGCAAGTGATATCAACAGGTCTTAAGTTCTTTATATCTCACTTCGATTTAAACGCAGAACACAGACTCGGGTTGAAACACTTTATAAGTAACATCCATCTCAAAAGAAGAGGAAGACAAAGTTAGGTACAACAAAAGAGATAGGCTATAACTGTTCAGTGACCGCCAGGTTTTGAACTGACGCTTTCTTTCGAATTCGTCCCACTACACCGTAATAGTCTAAATTTGCCACTTGTAAATATTTTAAATACACCCAAGGGTAGATAACACCATTGGAGATGAGATTTTAGTCGATTAAAACAAAGCGAACGTGTGAAAATGTATGCGATAGAGAGGTGGGGGTTTTTCGTAGCCAGCGTTTTGAGCAGGCCGCCATCCGAGTTACAGGAAAGGCACTCATTGTGCGACAACATGCTGTCGGTACAATGAGTGGGAACAGAGAATTCTTTGCAGACTTCTGCGCCCTTAATGGTTTGGTGAATGGAGGTATCGTGTACAAGCAAAAGTTTGTGGACAGTGTAGACTCTGAGTTGACTACTGGGTGACATAGTATGCTGGGCCCTCGAGTGAATTCGCAGTTGAGCCTGGCGTTCAAGGGAGACATAGAGGAGACCACGCGAATAGGACATCAGAAACTGTGCAGGTTCCTAGGGAAGGTAGCAGAGAATAAAGCGAGACAGTCATGTGTCGCTAAAGCTTTAGGTTTTACTTGGGATACCAGGGAGAATATCGATTTATTCATCCGTTCTGAGTTTCGTCAATTCTACAGGACGTGACTGTGAATGAAGTTAAGGATATCGACGTACTTTATCATAGTTGAATTGGCTGAAATTTCACTGAAACAAAGTGTTTGAATGTTGAACTGTATAATAGCATGATGAACAGGTGATCGTTCACTGAACAGAAAGGTGGCACAAATAATAAATCGCGGGTACAGCTCACAGATAGCAGCTGTGGAACAAACTGTAAGTCTATACGTGTTGTTTTTCGGAATTTGGTTGATTTAAATGTTGATATCATCGTGAACCAACGTCGACCAGGTGACTGTGGAAATCCCGGGAGTGCTGGGTGTCTTTTCCGTACTGGCTTGAGGCTCTTCAGCGGCGTGCCACCAACAGTCTACTGCCAGGGGTAGAACCTGAGACCTTCAGGGTACGAGGCGTTTGTGATATCACCCAGCCAAAGTGATGCTTTAATTCCAGTTTATGCTAGTCTGTGATGTATGTTGCTATCTCTGACCCGTACCATTGGCGTACCATACTTGAAACGGCGGTTGTTAACCCACTTATTTTCATTACAAAATTTGCACTGCTGTTGACTTTACTAGTGGTTACAACAATAATTACTAAAAAGCTTTATTTTTCTACAGCCTGAAGCACAAAACCGACGGTTTTCGTCAGCTCCATTACTGCCTACCTCCTTGTCTGGATATGTAATGCAGCATAAACCTACATATCATCTTGGTAATAATAACGTTTCTTCATCGTCATCTTCCCCTCCAAATACTACCGACAATACCGCTGCTAATAATTCTGCCGGCAAAATTATTCATAATAATGGTTTTAATACATCAATTTCAATGAAATATTCATCGAAAGTAAGTTCAGTAATGGGCCCAACAACCAGTGGTACTCCTGATATCAGATTACACTCAACAAGGGATTTGGACAATTTATTCCGAGATTACAGACTGCGTAGAACATCTGCAAGTCCATTAGTGGATGAAGCTATTTCTGCTAACTATACCAACGGTATTAATAATCATAACGGCAACAGTAGTTTACCATATTATCATCGTTCAAGCGGTCACCATTATGGTACAAGTCAGTCACTACTGAGTGGAAATAATGATCGCTTCAGTGAATTTGGAAAATCACCGGTTAAAAATAAGTCAAGTAACATGTTGGATACTGTAATGGAGTCCACGAATAATTTTAGAATAAATTCAACAAATGGTGACAGTCAGGTAATTCATGGATATATTTTTTTCCTTTACAAATACTGATACTGTAATATATACATTTATTTGAATGTTTTATTCACCGTTGTACTCGTTTTGGCATACATGAACTTCTGTTTCTTTGAAAAAAATTATGTTCAGCTGTAATTGCAAAGATAATATCCCACATTTTCATGAGACGTATTCTAACAGAGGCTAGACAGCGAAAAAGTTGATTACATCAAGATGTATTGGTGGTTCCCTGGTAGATTGTTCACTAGCCACGCAGAAGATCTGCGTCCGATTCCTGACCAACGCGCTGCTAATCCTTCCCCAGCTCAGTGGCCGGTTGCAGGCCTGGAAAAGGAAGGTAAGCGGTTAGGCTAGCAACCTCACTCTATGAAAGAAATAATACCATCTGTAGAAAAACATCAGAACTCGAGGCCTAATGTTAATTACGGAACGTTAGGAATGAAGAAAAACGACTACATCAGTGTACAATGGAAATTGAAATTTGGCATAGGTGGCTTGAAACAATTTAAAATATTAACTGCCTTCACTTCATGAGGAATACAAGCCAACTGAAGATCTAGAAATAGGCTCACAAAATCTGTCCAAGAGATGGTGTCAAAGAGCATAGGCTAAACAACCGCACAGTATTATACGCATATAATCCTCTATCCATAAATGCAATTATTTTACGTGCAGCAAAACATGCCATCATTTAGGTCGTTAAAATAATAAAGTATATTTTTGAATCAGCAGCGCTAAACAATGATGGATGTCCAAGTAACTAGAGGTCGTGCATTGATTAATGGACGTAACATTTCAGCGTGCTGGCAACGACATCGTACAACCAAACAAAGACGGTAATTGTATTGGCCTAGTCCAATGTTCGTAATAAAGCCTAGCACGTCAATAGAGACTAAGCATTCCGACCTAATGCAATTGGTGAAATGAGGAAAGTAAAATGATCGAAACAAATTTGTAGGCTACTATTTTACTGTGGATCAAGAATAAAGGTAGGTTCACAGAAAGCACCGGTTCTTAACAATGTCATCCTCCCCACAGTATGAAATACCCAATTAAACTTTCAAATAGAAATATTAAACTATTTATATGTAATTTTTAGGCATCAAATACAATCCAATCGAAAATCATATCAAATGGAACATGCAGTGAATCAAATAATTCTCTGAAATATCATCCATCAATTTTACCGTCTAATATTCCAGTATTTCAGTCGAATGATAACTTATTCCATCCAAGCAGAACTGCAAATTTGAAGCAACCGGCCGCAAAATTGATCTCGACTATAAAATACCCAAACAGATCTGTTCTGGAGACGATGAACTCCAACAAGCACGCTCTTGTCATAAATCGCACTAGACAGCGTTTAGTACCACAGCATGTATTATCACGGTTAAAATCTGTCAAAGATATTAACAAAGGAGAGACAAGTTATTCGAATCATATGACATAGTTATCAGGTGTCCATCGTTCAAGTGTTGTTATATTATATTGTTGACGAAACATTTTAGGGTTTATTTTTCCTTTTAAAACAAATTCTCACACATTTAAGAAAATAGCAGGACAAGTGAATAGCTTTCATAACACCACAGATTATGCTAGGAGTGAGCCCTTTAGTGATATTTATTTTGACTATCCCTTGTAATAAAAGCTTTTTATTCAAAACATATTTTCCCATGAGCAAATACTTCAGAGGTTGTGCTGGTTCAGATATGCTCATCATGACTAAACTGTTCGCGATACCAGTCGGTGTCTTTTCATCAGAAACTTGAGATTATATTGTTAGCAGAAAAATATATATTTTATCTTAGATCCATTGTAAACAAAACTCATTCCGAGAGGTTTGAAATGGAAATATTAATCGTTCTAAAAATACGTTGTTTTCTATTACGTTAGCAAGTAGTTTTTAAAAATGACATGCTCACCTGGAAATAGATTAACGTTATTAGTCACAGTTGTAGTCTGGTTGATACCATTACTCTAGATTCGAATATTCCTATATAAATAGTCATACTTTCTTAGTGATACGTCTACCACCATTTGTTTGTACAGAACATCGATCATATGTCTTGACCAAGGGGTGATATTTATCCCTTATTGCAAGCCGTGTTCTTTCGAAAGAATCATGAAGCAGTGAACCAGTCGATGTTGAGTGGTCAAAGACGGTAATCAGTGGGCCTTGAGCCTAAGTTTTGTGTTTGTTAGTGTCGATAGAAAAAGTAAATCTGCAGTCTAGAGGAATTCGATTTCCTTCTAGAGGTTCACTCTCATACAAGTCAATTCTGAACAAGCGTTATAGGCATTATTCTAGATTTCACAGCTGATGTTCACATATTTTAGGTGAAAGTGGGATATACCGATATCCTTGAAAGTACCATAAACTCTAAATGCAATAAAATAAAGAATTAGAGTCTATGGATTAGTACCTGCTTTAAATTCAGATTTGGTAAGTGTTGTAAAGAAGTATAGCGAAAATCTTAGAAGCGGACTACCTTAAACTCTAACTTTTTCATTTGTTTATGAGATTGTCAGTCTCCAGGTCCCTTGGTGACCTGTTTTCGTCATAAACCGAAATAGCCGACTTGTTCCATCGTCTCGCCTGATCAAACTTTTAGTCAATTCTCATTTTAGAACAATCTGATTGGATTGTTCGAAATGTATTGAGCAAATACATCACCACTTTTAGATAATCTCCATCTTCTAATAACACTATCCAAATTTATAAAAGGAACTTAGTGTTTTAGAACTTTTGGAAAGAAGACTACCCCCATGCACTGTCAGACGTTTAGATGAGCTTCTTAACCCTATGTGTCAAGTAGCATGTGAAAAGGTGAAATTGGATTTTTACAAATCTCTCTCAAGTCTCTCAAGTCACACATTCCTGAAGACATTTTACAAATCTCTTTGATCTTCCAAACTTCAAAAAAATTTTCAAATCTTATTTGTCTTACGAAATCTCATACTGATAATTCAAATGGAAATTTATGTGGAATAATTGAACTCCATTTATTCAAATATATTTAATTTGCCAAAGCCCTGCCGTCGATAGGACGAAAAAGAATACTAGATTGAAATTTTTTGAATCTTGCACCCCTGAATTCTAACTAAACCAATCCCTAATAAATCCTGATAAGTATGTGACAAATTTGTTGTCAGTCAAACTTTCAGTACATGAGAAGGAGGCACTACAACTTGTCTTCATTTTTTCTATCCCATTAAACAATATTCCAGACTTAGCGATTGCTTCTGAGTTTGAAAATTTGTATGATCAGTTGGGTCCTCTAGTTCCTACCTTGACAGATGAACAAAGCTGGTTGAAAACTGAATTGGTACATGCAGTGCATCAGTTCCGTGACTCAAGTCGGAAGATAAAAAGTATTTTGACCTCGACTCATCTTAAAGTTCTACGTAACAGACCTGACATAGTTATCCTGAGACCCGACTAAGGACCTGGTGTAGTTGTAATGGACAGATGTAATTAAGAAGCAAAAATGTTATCTATTCTAAATGATATCAGAAATTTGGAAGGAAAAGTAACTTCGCACTTAATAAAACTTCATGGCACAGATGTTACCCAAAGACATGAGTTTAATTCACTAGAAAATCTGATTTTCCAAACCTTTATAGATTACTCAAGAATCATAAGGTTGACAATCCATTACGCTCAATTCTATTCAATAGTCACTCTACTACACATAAATTGGCAAAATGGTTAGCTGACATTTTAAACCCAGTACGCGAAGAATTACGTAACTTTGCCTTGAAAGATACATTTGAACTTGTGAACCATCTTTAGATATGAGCATAAAAGACAGAAAAATGTATTCTTTTGATGTTAATTCTTTGTTTACTAATGTACCTTTGATTAAGGCCACTGATATTCTTTTTTACTATATGTCCTTGAAGGATTTATTACTGTTACTTACTGGCAACATCTATTTCACATTTGAAGGTAGGCACTTTCGACAAGTGGGTGGTGTTGCTATAGGAAGTCCATTAGGACCTTTGTTAGCAATTGTTTATATGCCTTATGTTTAAAAATTGCCCCTTGATTTAATTACTAATTGATATGTAGATGATATTACTTTGTTATGTTATCTGAAGATGCGAGTTATCCGACGGATGTCTTACATACTAGGAAGAAAGTCGCAACTAACCTGCATTTTTTGACAGAATTCTGAGTCGAAGAGGCTTGTGTTCAATAAACCCACAAATTCACAGAAAGTCTACCTGGCCAGAGCAATACTTAAATTTTCACAGCTTCTGTCCATTACAGTATAAGGGAGGCTTCGATGAAGTGTTAATTCGAGAGAATTTTGTGTAACTCCATTATGTATTTGTACAGCTGATGTTATAGAGGGTGAATATAAAATACTGATGGATGCCCTTGTTGAAAGCGGATATCCCTTAAGATTTTTAAACAGATGTAGAAGCCGATCAGTCTTAGAGCCTACGATCTATTCTGTCCCCAAAACAGATGTCTTCATCAAATCACCATACAACAAGGAAATAAATAGTAGGGTTTTGAGACAGATTAAACTTGGTCATCTGTAGGATCTATTATGCAGTCCGGCCTGTAATCATTGACAAAGTCAAAAATATACTCCACTACAAACCTCAGAAGTGCACATTTGATTGTGTCACATACCACACTGTTTACCAATTTACGTGTGTGTGGACACGAATACGTAGGGAGGAGCAATGGAGCTTAGTGTGTGATGGTGGGTGAGCAAATTCCGAAATGGTTAGAAAGACAAATGAACTTTGGAAAATCAATAGACGCAGGTGGCAGACTACCAACTTCGTCAATAGCCAAACATCTAATCGATATGAACCACAGGACTGATTGAAAAAAAACCTTTAATATCAAGGGCGCTTACTGAAATACACTGAGGCCATAGCTTCACATAAACTTAAGCCTCCCACTCTGTGTGTTAAAGAACAATTCATTAATACTTTTAACCTACCTTGGTAATCCTCATCTGATTGGATAACCAAACGTTGTGCTGATTATCCTTATTATTCTTAAACCCTTCCCACCACTTTGTATGCCTTCATTGCCCTTAATTTTTTCATATAATTGAATTGAAAAGTGAATGTGTGATCAGATTGTTTGAAATGTAATGAGCAAATACATCACATTTTTATATAATCTCCGTCTTCTAATAACACTATCCAAATTTATAAAAGTGACTAATTGTTCTAAAAATCTACAATAAGCCTGCTACCATCTTTGAACTTTTCAATCAATGGTTTGCGGACTTTATTTTAGAAACACACATCCCTAGTGAAACTGAAACCCTTACTAGCTCTTCTGTCAGAGGGGTGGTGTTCACCAGCTGGTTATTAGAACAAGTCTTTAAATGCCTTAGACCTTCAACTAAAACGAGACCGAAGAGATTCGCCTCGATAATTTTCAAAAGCAGTGGGTGTGAAATTCCTCTCTTACTTCTAAAATTCTTCTTAATATCTATCTATACTAGCGCTTACCCTAATGAGTGGAAAACTAGCTTAATAACTCCACACTACAAATTTGGTGATAAGTGTAACGTTAGCAGTCGCAGATCTATAAATATGTCCTGCTTTACTAGTCACTCTGACATTTTAAACGGGATCACTAGTGGTCTCGAATCACGTAAACTAGTCATTGTTCTTTACTTCGATATATCAGGGGCATTTGACGTGGTATCTAATAGTATTCTGCCTGAGAAGCTGTACTCATGTGGAATCCGCAATCAATTACTTAACTGTCTAATCATTTCCAAGCGACTGGGTGCGAATAACCAACGTCGAATCTGTATTGTCTCATCCTAGGCAGACCACAAGTGAGTATTTGCAGGGTAGTAGATAATACATACTATAAGATGACTTTGGTACAGGCACCACCTTTATTTCTTTCCAGGCAACAGGTACTGTATCCCTGTGAAATGATGCATTAAAGATTTGCGTAAGAGGATAACACAGAATATCAGCACACTATTGAAGCAGAATCCTTCGCACATAATCCAGTTCTAGACTATGTGCTGGATTTAAGGATTTGAGACATTTTAATACATCCCTTTCATTAAAACCAGGGGAATGATCATTTACGTGACTAGAAACATCAGGTCCAGTCATATTGTTGCATTATAAAGGATCGATTTAAGACATTTACATCAGAATAAGAACCAAGTGAAATTTGTTTTCTGTTTTTAAGTTGATTAAAAGTTTCCATGTGTTAGAAGCATTCTTACATGACAAAGATTTTCCATTATATATTCCAATTAGTCCCTGTATTTCAGACTTTACAAGAGAGTTTATTCTTCGAACATCCTCATTATCCTGTGATTTGTACAATTCTGTTTTTCTCCCCTAACCTTTTTTAGTTGTGAAGAAAAAATCCAATTGAATCTTGTGAACACTGTTTCAGTACGACAGCAAATATCCAAACAGAACTTGAGATAGGTGGAGATA